CCACATAAAAATAAATGAATAAAAAAAAGGTTCATTAACGTCTAAAAAAATTTAAGGAAAAAAAAAGTGTACACTAAGGCATTCTATTTATATAAAGTTCTAAAGCAGACAAGCTGTACGGAGGGGAGTAGAAGTCAGGATGTGGTTCAGCTTTGGTGGGAAGTGGTGTCTGAGATAAGGCCCCCAGGGCTGGCTGTGCTCTGCTTCTTGACCTGGGGGCTGGTCACACAGGTGCGTGCCCTTTGTGGAAACCCGTTGGGCCACTGTTCACGGAAGGTCTGCATTTTTCTGAATGTATTTTATATCTTGATAAAAATGTACATTAGAAAAAGTTTGACATTTGCCTGCTTGGCCCTTCTCCAATCGATGGTTTTCACCATTTTTGTGAACTCCTCAGACTGCTAAGTGAAGTGAAATGGTGATCTTTCTCCTCCATGAATGAAGGCATCAGCTTCGTTCTTTTTTTTTTTTTTCCTAAAAGGAGATGCTAAAATTAATTCTGGACAGCCTATTTGTTTTCCTAAAATAGCTGCTGCCAGGAAAACAGGCTGCAGGATGCCAAGGAGTGTGTGTGCAAGTGTGTATGCATCAGTGTGAGCACGTGTGTGTGTGTGTGTGTGTGTGAGTGTACACGTGTGCTGGTGTGTGCACATTCCCTTCTTATACTGACAGCAATAAAAAGTGGCTGAAGATGTTCTGAAACATCTGGTTCTGGAGAGAAACTGCATTAGTGTCCAGGGCAGACAGAACATTCAATACAAAAAATCAATGAAGGAGAGAAAATGGAGGTAGAGAAGGCGTGGGCTCTTGTCTTTGTTTGCTCTTAGCTTGCCTTAGGTGCTGCTGGGCAGATGAGAAAGGGCTCAGCAGGTCCCTTTGCTCATCCTCTGGGAGGCTGGGCTCGCCAGGCAGGTGGCACCGTGGCAGCTCCACTCACTCCTAGCAGACCTGCCAGCCCTTGGCATCTCAGGATCTGAGTGGCTTGTGCCACTATTGTCACATGACGAAGGCCCATTTTGGAGATCTCCTAAAGTGATGGCCTCAAAATGTCTACTCAGGGGGCTGGGGTTGTGGCTCAGCGGTAGAGCGCTCGCCTCGCATGTGCGAGGTCCTGGGTTCGATCCTCAGCACCACATAAAAATAAATAAAAATAAAATAAAATTGTAAAAAAAAAATGTCTACTCTGCCTGCTGTTCCTCCTCCCTGGGAGATGGCTATGGATCACTCTGTCACTTAAATTATGTCACCAAATATTTGCAGCTTTGAAAACTGCCAGGCAGCTTCCATTCTAACTCCTGAACTGGTTTCCTGTCTCCCTAGGGTAGGGCTCTGCTCCTCTGTCCCATCTTTCTGTCAGCAGCCACCCACCTGCCTCGGTAGCTGTTCCCTGTAGCTGCCTCAGCTCACACCACTGGGGAGCCAGTTCTGGCCAGGTGGACGGTGACTCTCCATAGGCTCCCTCCTCCAACAGCAGGAGCTGGGGCATCCTGAACCTCCTGGATACCAGTCCTGCTAAGCCAGTAGCTACGAGGCTCTGCACTCCTTCTGGCAACTCTGGGGATCCATGGGAAGGGAGGAAACACATGGAGCATGGGTGCCACCAACCGCACTCCCATGTCCAGGTGGATGCCGCTAACCTACCCAGACATTCTTCCTCACTGAGTCTAGATACAGCGCTCTGGCAAGCACCACCCATGCATAAAAATGGGAACTTGCCCGCGATCCCTGTTACTGGCAGTTGCCACCGGCCTGATATTCTCTGAGTGAATTTTGCAGCAGCAGAATGAGACCCAGTTCTCTGAGGGGGAACTAACTGCATAAAAATCTGTGATGGAATCTCATCATTCAGTAAGGAGTCCAGGCAGGTGCCAGGGGAGTTAGGGGTCAGGTAAAGGACGATCTTCTCATGAGTGTGAACCAAGGGGCTCCGGAGGGTCTGCCTGGGGAGGCTGTCAGGGGAGGTTCCCACCAGGAACTGACCTGACGGGAAAAGAGCCAGAGCAGCCTGGTGGGCAGGAGGAGTGCGGGGGCTGAGCCCGGGGAAAGGCCTCACCTTGGTGTTGCCACTGCCCCCAGGGAGAAGAATGAGTCAGATGGGAGAACCATGCACCGTTTTAACACAGGTGCCACAGCCCTCCAAGCTGGGGCCGAGGGCAGAGAGGGCCTGGGTGCCCGCAGGCAGAGGAGCCATCCAGCCCCAAGCTGTCCCGTCTTTCTCCCTTAGGGACCCGGAGCTTGCCGGAGAGGGCGAGGGCAGAGTGGGCAGGGCAGGCGAGGGTGGGCCCAGGGCAGGCCTGCGGGCTTCTTGGAGCCCCTGCCCTGCCATGAGAGCACAGGTCCTGGCAGGGAGTTGTCACCACTGCTTGGGCAACGATGGGGCAGTGACAACTGGGGTACAAGCAGCGCAGGACCAGGGCTGTGGGGGTGCTGTGCAGAGGTGTTAGGTTTGGGGGCCAGTTTGAGTCCACACGAATTCCTGGGAGAAAGGGAAAGTTCTGACAGTGAGCAATACCCTGGCTGTGACCCTCAGGGGGACCCAGGGGCTACTCGGGAGCGCCGTGGAAGCCCCAGAAAGCCCACCCTCTGTGGAGGGGGCTGCACGCCTCCCCTCCCTCTTCCCCGCGTTCCTCTCACTCTGCAAACACAGCTCAGTGGATCCCAGGCTGGCTCACTTCCTATCTCCCTGCTGACATGGGTCCAGGACGGAGCTGACCAGCAGCCAGGCAGGAGCTTCCCCAGTGGGCGTGACTCACTGGAAAGAGTGTCTCTGTCTCGTGGGTTATTAAAAGAGGGGAAAGGAGGGACGGAAACATTCGATTTGAAGCAAATTATATAGAAAGGAGACACACTCCATCTAATTGTGACACTGAATCTGCTTTTCCCAAATAAAGAGACCTAAAAAATGAGCTTTGAAGGGAACACAGCGCCAAGATGTTCCCAGAAAGGATTAAATCCTCAAAATCATGCAAATGAAACTCGGCAAACAGGTCTATCAGCTGATTAGCATGAAAAGACAGCTGCCAGGCATGGGGACACACCCCTGGAACCCCAGCCACTAGGGAGGCAGGGACAGGAGGATGGCAAATTCCCGGGTGGCCTGGGCAACTCTGCAAGAACGTGATTCTGCATTTGGGGCAAAAATGGGAGTTCATAACCCACGTGAATCTAATGTATGAAATAGGATAGGTCAAGAGCTTTGTAAAGTTTTGAACAACCAATAAAAAATAAAAAAAAAAACCCGTCTCCCAATAAAATAAAGAGGGCTGGGATGTGGCTAGAGGTAAAGCGCCTCTGGGCTGAATTCCCATGAACCGTCCCCCCACCCAAAAGGAGAAGACTATTTATCTGCTAAACTCACACGTGCACAAGAAATAGGGTGTCTATCTCCTTGAACATGCTTCATCATGCTTGAGAAGGATGCCACCAGTGTCCCCTGTCAAGGGCGGGACCCTAAGGGCCACCTGGGACTGTCTCTGCTCTGGGATCACGCACTCAGCTGGCTTACGGTGGAGTGGTATCTCACAAGGGCCCACGTTGGGAGGCGATGGATGCTTCAGGAGGTGGGGACTAGTGGAAGGGAGTCGGGTCATTGGTGGTGTGTCCTTGGAGGGGATATTGGGACTCTGTCCCCTTCTTCTTTCTGTTTCTGGTTTCCGTGAACTGAGCAGCTTTGCTCCACCTTGGACGCCCACCGTGATGTTCTGCTCCACCACAGGTCCAAAAGCAACGGCGCCAGTCAACCATGGATTGACACCTCTGAAGCTGTAAGCCCAAATAAACTTTTCCTCCTTAAAATTTGATTATCTCAGGTATTTTGTCACAGCAATGACAACCAAAAAGGTTAACACAAGAGGTTGAGACACAAAATGGAGCCTGGCAACTACTGCCCTCCCCCTCAGCCCCTCAGCACCCCTCCTCCGGCTCCCCTCCCCTGGCCATGGCAAACCTTGCTAATGGGGCCTCTTGACCAGACAGAAAACATTCACAGGCAGAGAGGACAGAACAATTTTAGAAGTCCTTGGCTAACAACAACAGATCTAGGAGCAGCCTCAGGATCTTCCTAAACCCAGTGCCCAGGAAGGTACTGTGTCCACTCCGCTCCCTGGAGTGGACACAAGAGAGGAGTCCTATCTGTTCTTGTAGGAATGAGGGAGGGGCCTTGGTGGATCAGGGCTCAAGTGAGGTTCTAACCCCCTCATTTACATGATCTCTGACAAGACATTGCATCTCTACTTCAGTTTCCTCATCTGTCAAACAGGAATAATGAAACCAGTCCCTTAGTGTGCAGATACACTGAGAAAATGAAAAGAAAGTGCTTATTGTTGTGCTTTTGCACATCAGAGGGCTGGGGCTGGGGCTCAGTGGTAGAGTGCTCGCCTGGCATGCACAGGCACTGGGTTCAGTCCTCAGCACCACCTAAACGTAAAATAAAGATACTGTGCCACCTAAAACTTAAGAACAAATATTAAAAAAATAAAGCCCATTAGAGGGCTATTATTATTGTAATTTCTATTGAAATCGATACAAACTTCAGGTTAGTTTGGAAAGTCTAAGAAACAGCATCAATGCTATGAAACCTTGACACATCTAAATGCTTTTTCATTTGTCCAGAAAGTTGAGGATTTTATATCTAATCTAGTAAAATATAAATGAGAATCAGCTGGTCTGATTCAGGTACACTAAAAAATAAAGTTTTTAAGGTCAGTGTAGTATGGTACTTTTCCTGAGCAAAAGTACCTTTTGGGTCAGGCTATTTCTGGACGCGGGGTTCCCAGAAGCCAGGATTATCTCATATTATAACACCTACGCACTATTTACTTTTCCAAGTTGTGCAGAGGTTTGAAGGCTTCCTGTGACCTTGGGCCCCATAAGGAAAACTGCATCCTATGCCCCCTGGATGATGCCACAGAAGTCACATCACTGATTGGTCTCCTGTGACCCCAGGAACAGCAACACCACGGGGTCTGCACACTCCATCAACCAACACTAAGCCGTGTCACCTGTTGAAAAACGTCAGCATGGTCTCGTGGATGGGGATGGCCTGGATCTTGCTGTTGAGCTGCAGGTAGGCCCACATGAGTAAAGTTTTCAGAAGATGAAACTCGCTGAAGGTGAACAACCTGGTCAAGGGAAAAGACCAGGGAGAAGTTTCAGGAACAGGAACCATTGCACCATTTGTAAGAAAACAAAGTCAAAAGTGAGTTTAGGAAGGAGACTGAACGTGGCCCAGAGTCAGGTGGACTCTGACAGAAGTGGACCACTGGCTCAGGGCGGCTCCTCTGGTGATGCGCAGAGGGTGGTAGGCAGGTGGGGTGGGGGTCAGGGCTGGAACCTCAGCAGCCTGATGCTGGGCCCGGTGCTTCCCCACCCGCCACCCACTGTGCTGCTGCAAATCAGTGCAGTCATCTGAGGAGTTCCTAAGAAGTGCCAGGTGGCTCTAAAGAGGTTTTCTGCAGGTTTTATTCATTTATTTATTTAGGATGCTTGCAAGGCAAGTGCTCTGCCATACTCCCAGCTCTCCATGGATTTTAAAATTGAATTCTGACCACAAACTTGCAAAGTTGGGGTATAGTCCTTACTTTTACAGATGTGGAAATGGAGATGGATCCTAAGTCTATTCAAAATTTTAATGTGTTATTTTCATCATGGATTTTTTTGCATTGGTTTTAAAATATTGCACAAAAATATACTTTATCATCACTGAGTATTTTTGGTAATTTTTTCTTTCATTTTTTTTTTTGCATCCAAGTGAGTGCCTCATTGACCCTTGCCAAATCCTGGCCCTGATTGAAGGCTGAACGTGAGCAACTCATTCAAGGCCACACAGAACTGGGCCTGGGGCAGGAAACTCTTGGATGTTACCAAACTGCAGTTGCCATTTCCTCAGCTGTGGAAGAGCAACAGCAGCAGCTGAAGACAGGAAGTGGTGACACTCTGTATGAGTTTCCCTTTGCTGCTGTAACAAACAGTCACAAACCAAGTGGCTTAAAACAACACACATTTATTATCTTATCATTCTGGAAGTCAGAAGTACAAAACAGATCTCACTGGGCTTTTTCTGGGGGTTCTTGGGAGAGTTGTGTCCTGGCAAATCTCAGCACCCTTGGCTTGTGGCCCATTCCCTGGTCTTCAAGGCAGCAATATAGCATCTTCCAGTCTTCCTTTGATTCTAACCCTTTAGCCTCCGTCTTTGTACTTAAAGAATGCTTGAGATGATGTTGGGCCCACCCAGAGAATCCAGGGTAAGCTCAGTTTGAAGTCAACCTTCATTTCATCTATGACTTTAAATCCTCTTTGCCATAAAACCTATGCAGGTTCTTGAGATTAGGCCGTGGACATCTTTGGGACCATTATTCCACTGACCATGTATCAACAAAGTGCTTAGCACAGTGACTGGCACATTACTGGGTACTCAGTGAATGGCAGCTGGGTACTCAGTGAATGGCAGCACTCGATCACAATGGCAGGGCAGGAGGCCTGTCCTCAATGACCCTTGATGCCAAAGAGCGGCTGTTGCTCTCCGTCAGTCAGCTCTTAAGCAGAGCAAACAGTGCCTCTGGCAGCCTCTGCTGACTACGTGATCCAGGTAGTCATTTCCATGGTTCTTAAACTCACTGATATTTTCAGTTTCTGATCACAGACATGCCGTGAAATACATCACAGCCTCTTCATTCACCACTTTGAGGGGGTCATGGTGGGTGGAACCCACTCTAAAGGGCAATAGAAAGTCACCCACCCACCTCTCACGCTATCTCTGGACAGAATAGGGCTGTATTGTTCCCCTCATTTGGTTTTCAGATCACCCACAAATGATGGACTTTGAGTCTGGCTGGACAGGATCAAACTGGTCACTGATGGAGGGACCAGGAGTAAAGAGGCAGCAAAGGGATCCCACACAGAGCCACTTGGTGCAAAGTCCCCAACAAGAACTTTGTCGTGGGGTCAGAAGCCGTGTGACTTTCAGAGCAGACTCCCCCTTGAGGCTCTGCAGCCCAGGAGTCCTTTGACATCTTACCAAAGAGGGGCTGGCAGCAACGAGGGAGCGAGGGGGCTCCGGGGCTGGGATTCTGGTTCTGTTCACGAAGGGCAGTTACTGAAGTCAAGTGCTCTCCTTAGGCAGCACGGAACCCAACCCTATCAGCTCTGCAGTGAGTAACCACGTCGAGGGCATTCAGACACATTTCACTCACCCAAGAGCTCTGATGGCCTCAACCCATGGACACTCCGAGCCTCCACACAGGCCAACAACCGGCTGAGCGTGGTGCTCATGGGGGCCCTTCAAACTAACTGGTGTCTGTTCTTCAGGAGGAAAAAAAAAATCCTTTTCACAAGACACTGTCTTCTAATTTTATTTCTTAAGAAAATTGTATCTAAACAACAAAAGCCCCCTTCTGCGTATGTACCATGGAGAAAGTCAACTGCTTGGGAACAAAGAGGAACAAGGAGACCCTCACGGCATGGTCTGTCCGGGCAAGAAAGAGAACTCAAAAGGCCTTCAGGAGAGTAAGAAAAGACTGCTGTGTGCTCCTTCCCTCCACCCTTCACAAGGAAGGAGAAGAATGCTAACGAGGTGCAATCACAGGGAGAGAGCACAAGGCAGGGTGAGTGTGCACCCCATGTCACTGTCCCTGTCACTGTCCCTGAGATGTCGGTCTGAAATGTCAACCTCCACAGACATCATGCACCATTCTTGGGTGCACATGTCCATATTAAGAGCTTAATCACATGGATCGTGTCCACCCAAGTCCTAACTGTGGTTTAATTGTCTTTAGGAAGGAATGGGACTGGAGGGGACACAGGTGACCTGCTTTATCAGTGGTGTTTTATTTCTTAACTCTTTGGTCATTTTGGGGAGGTAGCTGCAATTGTTTTGTATGATCCGCCTACCTTTGTAAAGTATTATTTTTAACAACAACAACAACAACAAAATACATTGATTTAGTCAACTGGACTGGACAAGAATAATGTCAAGGAGGAAAAGTTATTTGAGGTACACAGTTTCCAAGGTCTCAGTCCATAGATGACTAACTCCATTGCTCTGGGCCCAACGTGAGGCAGAACATCTTGGTGGAAGGGTGTGGTGGAGGAAATCAGCTCAGGACATAGCATTAGGAAGCAGAGAGAACTCTGCACCCTAGGGACCAAATATAAAACCCAAAGGCACACCCCAGTGACATATCTTCTCCAGCCTCATCCCTATAGCTGCCTATAGCTACCACTCAGTCAATCCATTCAAGTGGGTTAATGCACTGATTAGGTGAAGGCTCACCACCAAGTCGTTTCATTTCTGAACCTTCCTGCCTTGTCTTAGACATGAACTTTTGGGGACACCTCATATTCAAACCGTAACAAAGATCGATATACTTGTTGACTCGACTGTCCATAAGGACAAACAAGGCCTCCTGCACACACATCAGCTGACTGCTAATGACCACAGCTGTGAGACCACTCTGACCTGGGTTCAAATCCCAGTTCTCCTGCAGCATGGGGGGAGATTTGGCTGACCTCTTCATTTTCTGGAGTCCCATTCCCCAAGTGAGAAATGCAGAAGGCAACACTCCCCCATCGGGCTGCTGTGGGAACGAGTCGTGGGGACGACCTATTCAGAGCTGCAGTGTACACGTGCTCCCTAGCTGGGTACTGTTACTGTCTACCAGAGAAGCAGCGGCTTCAGGGACTACTACATTAGATAGGACACGTTGGTGTCAAGACGCTGTGGGAACCCTGCTCCACCCCATCCTGCAGGCATGTCAGGGACCCTGGGACCTGAGACTCCATGGCCATAGACAGACAGGAAGCTGGGAGAACTGGAAACAGAGGGGTGTAGGGTCCCCTGTTGCAAGTAGCTTTTTGTGGAGATGGTACTAGAAGGTCCTCTGAAGTCCCCATCCTCCCAGGTCCATGAGGACACTGGATTCCAGGAAAACAGAACTTGGATGAAGTTTTAATAAACGAGGGTTACAAGAACAAGGTGACCTAGTGGTGACCTCTAAGGAGAAAATTAATTGAAAACTAAGTGCCTAAGCAAATAAATTAAAACCCGAGGCCCAGGAGGTCAGGAAAACCGTGGATATTTGACCCAAGGCTGTTTACAAATGGAAAGTAAAACTCCAAAAAGAGATGAAGTCAAGGGCCTCCAGACGGGAAAGGCCCAGGAGTCACAGCATCTGCTAAGAAATGGATGTTGTTCCAAACACCCGCAGCCAAGCAGGGGTTCGGTGACAGCGGGCGGCTGAGGGACAGCTGAGTGGGGCCAGGGGTGCCCATCCCTGACCTCAGGTTGGCATTTGCACACCTCCTGCTCTGGGGCAGGTCACCCAGGGTCCTGCTGAGCTCTTCCTGGTGCTAGGCCACCTCTGCCTCCTTAGGGGGGAGCAGAGGTTCAGGGTCAGGGCAGGACTGGACTCTGGAGCCAGGGGAGGCCTTGTCCAGCCCTTCATTAGCCCTCCCACCTCAGGGATAGCAGTTTTACCTGCCAGGTGGGGTGTGGGGATGGAGAGGGACGTATTCCCAGTACAGCGCACACGGGAAAGCGCTCCCTAACAGGCTCACTCTTAGGTGCAGGCCGTGGTACTGAATCCACCAGCCAGCACCCTGGACCTCGGCAGGTCCCCTGAGGACCCCAGGCCTGGCTATGTGCCTGGCAGGTACCCCTCTTCTTGCACCCCCTGCCTCCACCCACAAGCTGCAAACAGCAGACCCCTGGAGAACAGCGCCCATGCTGGGGTGAGTCTGGTCACCCTCCCCTGCCCACTTGGGCACGTGGGCCCATGACGTGACTGAGGCCATGCAAGGTTCTTGCCTCCTTGAGCCGCACGGCCCTGAACTGTCCATGCAAGTGCCTCCTGCGGAGGACTGGGGACGCGGGCGGCCGGGTCCCACTCAGTCACGTCTGCCCAGGCTGGCGAGTCTAGACACCAGATGCGTCATGCTCCTGACCTCTTTTCCTGCCCAGTGTGCGTCTTGCCAGGCCTGTGCCATCACCGACGTGCTGACTGTGGTCAGACAGCTTTCCTCATTTTTGGCTAAATGCTTCCAGGGTAGGACAGCTCAGTTTTTCCAAGGGAGGGACCGTGTTATGAAAAGTCTCAGGGATGCCAGGTTTAACTGTCCTTCTATAATTTCAAGACCTTTTCTCCACTGGAGGGTGCGGCGGAGGGTGGGGGACACATGAGTAGGGTACACCAGTGCCCTGGGGGCTGCTCAGGGGCCAGGCTCCTGGGGTCTTCTCTGACAACGTGGTCTCCCTCAACACCAGGACTCTGTCATGTGAGGGGCCCTGCAGGCCCCTGTGTGCTCCGAATCCCTGGGATGGGCTGATGATCTAGATCTAATTTCTAAAAGTGGGACATTTTCTACCACACAAATGCTAGGAAACACTTATTTTCTAACATACCACTAACATTTTGAGTAGACTTTAGTTTTCACTTTTGAAATTTACCCAAAGGGAGCACAACCCTGGAAATTTGGCAATGAGTACCAAGGAGCTTTTCAAACGAACCCCAGAGAGACTTGACAACTAAATGCAAGACGTGATCCTAAACTGAATCCTGCATTGGAGCGGGAAACGCTATCACGGACAGTGTCGGTCAAGGGGTCTAAGTATCACATCCATGATAAATTTCTTGATGTTGATAATTACCCTGGGATTATATTAAGCAAATTCTTTTTCTGGGGAAATAAACACTGAAGCATTTGGGATAAAGAAGAATAATACATGCAACTTATCCCCAAGTAGTTCAGAAAAAAACATGTGGACCTGTGGATATGCACAGAGAAGCCAAGGAGAAGGCAAGCAGGGCAGAAACTGACCCATAGGGGACTCAGGGTAAAGCGTCTACAAATTGTCCCCACTTTACAATGGTCTGATTTATAAGTTTTCAGCTTTACTATGGTGGGAAAGTTATGTGCATCAGTAGAAATGATACTTTGAATTTTAATCTTTCTCCAGGCCCGGGATATGTCCTTTTTCCTGCTGTTGGGCAGGGGCAGGGCCAGCACCTCATCACAGCTCCCAGTCAGCTGGCGCCCTCTAGTGGGCATGTTGCCTGGCTGTGACACTCGGGAGGCAGGTGCATCCCCTGCATTTTTAGCTTATGTTGGGTTTACCGGATGCAAGACCATTGCAAGTTGAGGAGCATCTGTAGAGATATTCTTTATGCTGTCCTTATTTTTCTCCAAGTTCAAAGTTCATTTCAAAATATTATTTAAAAAATGAATTTAAAAAAAGCCATTTGACTTTAATTTCACTTATGGAAAGTCAATGCAGGGAGCTCATGTGAGAGGAAGATAAATGTGCATTAAAGGACATTCATCCAGCTGCTACTTATATTGGTAAAACACTGGGAATAGCCTGAAAGTCAAGCACTGAGGATGTTCCCATGAACCACTCAGAGGGATAAGAAGGAACCTGGCAGGGGACAGCTTGCCCAGAGGCCCTGTGTGGGTGAGAACTCAGCAGGGGAGTCGGAGAAAGGTCCCTGTGGCTGCTGCTTGGTGTGTGAGATGCAGGAGCAGAGAGCAGAGCAGAAGGCCCTGGACTGGACAGGGTTGGAAGGGAGGCAAGACCGAGGCAGGATGCCACCCTAGAGGGTGCTGTGGTGGTCCCTGAGAGACTGGAGGCCTTGGGCTGGGGCTGGGGCTGGGCTTGTAGCCATACTGCAGCTCAGTTTGGAAGCTAAGAAGGCCTCATGGTCAAGGAGAGGCCAAAGAGGTATCCAGAGGACTCTCACGGTTCTACCTTGTGCAGCCGTCGATGGTCCCGGAACACTGGGGTGGATGGGGGTGCAGTCAAGGGCGGGGGACACTGAGGATTGACTCTTGGCCTTAACTGTCAGAGAAACCGATAGGCAGTCACATGTCCAGGTAGAGGACGACTCAGCAAAGGAGTCCCGGCTGGATGGGAGGTTTTATTTTCCTTTTCCTGCCTTTCCCTGTTTTCCAAATTTTTCCACAACAAGTGTGTGACTGTCTGGGAGCATCAAGTTTGGAATCAAGGAGGACAAGGGTATGTCCTGCAGGGGTGTGGGTGCAGCCACCCTGGGGAATCTCCCTTCCCGACAGCCCCCCCACTCTCTTCCATACCCATCTTGGGCAGCACCCCCAGAATTAGCTCTGACCTGGGGGACCTCAGCACCTTTTGGAGCAGCTCCTGAGGGATATGCCGAAGATGGATCTGTGTCGCCATTAGGGGGACCAAGTTCATTTCCAGCCACTTCTCGCAAGCGGTGGTGAGCTGCTCTTCCTTGTACTGAGAAGACAAAACACAGCGCTTGACGGAGGAATTCCTGTCTCTCAGCGCCCTCTGCTGGCCGTCGGTGAGACTGCACACATGCACAGACCGGGCTTACTATGCTCAAGGCATGGCACTCCGTCCCCTTGAACCAGTCCTCACCGCCACCCTATGAGGCTAGCTTCCAGTTAACTGAGGCTCCAAGGTTTCTGTTCTTCCCATGGGAACACACTAGTAAGTGGCAGAGCCAGGAGCAAACCCAGGTTGTCTGCAGACCTCTGGGCTGTCGACTGATCTCCTGAGGGCCCGGGAGGGGCATCCCGTTGGAGTTCTGAGGCACAAACTTTAGAAGCAAGGTTGAAAGGGCAGGAAAATTGGAAAAGTCTCCCTGCAGCCAGGGACCCTGAGAGCGTCTCTGTACACTTAGCATGTCCTCAGGGCTTAGCGTCTTTCCAAGCCAGAGATTTTTTTGAGAAATGTCAACTAGAATTAAAGAAGTCACTGAGAGTGACTTTCCAACAGCGTGGGGTGAAGGCAGGGACCACAGGTCTTTGTCAAACAGGTACGTAGGACATTCTTAGAGGTGGTGCTAAGAGCACCTGGCATGGGGCTGTGTGCAAACCCTGCGTTGCCCGGAGTGAGTCTGTCTCCTGGTGTCAGTGTCCCTGAGTCAGGGAGGGAGCTGGAATCAGGAAGCCTGAGGCTGAGGCCCGCACTGCCCCCCAGCTGCTGGGCGCCCTGGGCAGTTTGCCCCCTTGGTCAGGTTTTCTCCTCCGGTAATAAGAGCTGGATGACATTATTTGCTTCCCACATGGACACACTGACTGGGCTCAGGTGGGACAAGATCTCATGGCTCCATTCTAGAATGTTCTGAAAAGTCTGTGCTGTTTCGTTGAGAAAGGCCATGCTACACCCTGTTTCTCAACCTCTGAGGTTGTAACTATTCTACTTTTAATGCATATCTTTAAAAAGAACTCTTTTTTTTTTAAAAAAAAAAAAAGTGCACTCCTTTAGTAAAATAAAATATTTTTAACCTTAAATTGGTGACTTTGAATAGAATTTTTGGAGCTGGGCCTGGCAAGAGTGCTCTTGAAGGCCCCACCCCACCATCCCATGCCCCTGGGTCCATGTGCCCTGCCCAGGTGTTCTCACCCTGTGGCCAGCCAGGTAGAAGTTCTTGATGGTGCTTGGCTTCAGTCCGTTCATCATCGTGACCACACATCTGCGGAGAGAAAGCTGTTGATCCTGGAGCCCCCTCAGGCTGCTTTCAGGGAGGGGACCTCAGAGTTTTTCATTCAATTTCAGGAGGGCAGCGGCAACCTCTCACACGGAAGGGAGCCTCACTTTAGGAATATGGTATTTGTTCAGGCCTGTTACAGAGCGCTTCAGGCTGAGGCAGATAGGGCTGGTGATCAAATCCCTCAGAGGCAACAATGTGGCCTTGACACCAGGGCCAAGGTCATTGCTCAGAGCGAACATGTCTGCAGATGCCTAAATGAACTCAAGCTCAGCCAAGAGGGCCAGCTGGTTGTCCTCCTGCCTGGGGTGCCTTCTCCCTGCCCTGACCATCATGGCGCTGCTACCGGGGCCTCAGGTCCTGAGCTGCTCTATGAACAAATGGATTCAGAGAGCCTTTCTGATAGAAGCCTCAGCCCTCTGTCACGGCCAGGCCTGGTTTACTTGCTCACTCATCCTTCAGGGTATATTTACTAAGCATGTACCCCGTGCCAGGCACTGGTGAGGACAGAGCTAGTGGCCAGGGGGTGATACACATCGTTAAGTCACCATGAGGACAGATGACCACATTACTGCAGTTGTGTTAAGGGTTCTAAAGTTAAAGCACAACGTGCCCTGGGAATGCAGAAAAGGTGAATCTCATCTAACAGGGTTAAATCAGAAAAGAGGTCAGAAACCAGAAAAGTAACGTTAAAAAACGGGAAGGAAGCCAGGCGTGGTGGTGCATACCTGGGAATTCCAGCGGCTCGGGAGGCTGAGGCAGGAGGATTGCAAGTTCAAAGCCAGCCTCAGCAAAAGAGAGGCACTAAGAAACTCAGTGAGACCCTTTCTCTAAATAAAATGCAAAATAGGGCTGGAGATGGGGCTCAGCGGTTGATACCTGGTACCAAAAACCAAAAAAAAAAAAAAAAAAAAACAAAAAAGGAGCAGGACAAAGAATTGGTTGGGATGGGACTGGGAGACCAGCAGCCCAAAAGAACACAGGGCTGTACCGCCACCTATGAGGCTAGCTTAACCCTATTTTACTTATGGAGAAAATCTGGGTTAGCAGACCAGCAGTGCAGGGGGTGGGCCACACCAAGTCATCGAGCTGGCGGGACCGAGGGGTGGACGTGCTGGCGGGATGTGGGGCCACGGAAGACTCGACATTCGGTGACTCAACATTCATACCTAATATTAGTCCCTTTTCAGCAAAACCGCCTTAAAGCATGCTCACCTTTTTAAACAGGGCACCCGAGAACAGCTCTGGGGCTCTCATATGAAGCAGGATCCTGGCTCCGTATCACTCAGAGGCCACCCTAAGGTGTACCTGAGCTACAGGATTTCCAGCAAGTCTTGCACATTTTAAATGTATTCCTTAAGGAAGTCACCATGAACTAAAACCCCCATGGGCCCTTGAAATAGGGCAGAGACGGCATGCATCCTCTGCAGCCGTGCACCTGGGCTGCAGCCGTGCACCTGGGCTGCGCCTCTCACAGGTGAAATGGATCGGCCCTCCACAGAGCAGCTGTGTCCCCTCTGGGCTTGGGTTCACTCACTCACTCACTCAGATGAAGAAACAGGCTGAGGAGGAGGTGAAACAAGCCAGGCAGGACATCCCCACCCCCCTTGCTCTCTACACTGACTTGCTCAGGGAATTTGAAAAACAAAGAGCTTCCAGAGGGTACCTCTGTCTTCAGGCCCGTCAGGCACCTGGCACGGTCCTGTGACGAGCCAGATGCCCTAGGAGACGATTCCCACTAAGGCTTTTCCGTGTGGTTCACTGACCTCTCTAAGCATGAATGGCACCGAGGGGTACTACAGGATTCCAGAAAGGGGACGCTCTGAGGAACGTGTTTTCTTATCGTGAGCACCAGCTGACCCGAAATTAATCACACACAGCACAACATGTTCCATTTGGGAGCCTCCGCCCTTCCCTCTGCCTGACCTGACTCATTTCCTGTGTCTTGGGCCTGTTGGACAGGAGGCCTTCGAGGACAGTGACCTGCCTATCTGTCCCTTTCTGTCTCCTTGCATCCTGGAGAGGCCAAGAGCTCCTTCTTGAAGGAGTGGGCTGGAGAATGAAGGCGTGACTGAATACACGACAGGTGAACCACCCTAGGCAGCCCCACCTGGCCGAGTGCCGCTCCAGGGAGGGGGGCAGGGAAGCGCCACAGACAGGCCAGTGACAACATGACCACCCGACTGTGCACAGCAGAGTAGGGCCACGTTGGTGGTGTAGGTTTGGGGCTCCTCGACCTCCTTCAGTTCTTGGCTTTCCTACTTGGAACCTGTGTGGCCTTGAAGCCTCAGGCTCCTGTCTGTAAAATGGGTGTAGCAGCCGTACTACCTCCCAGGGGTGCAGAGAAGATGAAAGGAGCCCGTGGAGAATGTGTCTGACTGTAGCAAACGCGCCACCTCAAAGCCCTTTGTGTCCACATCCCTTAAACCCAGGAAGGTTCTGGGAGGCAGATGGCACATATACTGAGTCACACCTTACAGTGGAGACGGTGGAGGTACGCGGAGGCCGAGGGGAAGCGTATTGCACAGAACTGTGCAATAAGTTCAGGACTGTGCAAAAAGTTCTGTGCCCGGACTGTGCAAAAAGTTCAATGAAAGGGGCTGGGGATGTGGCTCAAGCGGTAGCGCGCTAGTCTGGCATGTGCGCGGCGCTGGGTTTGATCCTCAGCACCACATACAAACAAAGATGTTGTGTCTGCCGAGAACTAAAAAATAAATATTAAAAAATTCTCTCTCTGTCTGACTCTCTTTGAGAAAAAAAAAAGTTCAATGAAAACTGGGCGCCTCCAACTCAACTGCCCGAGGCTGGCTGCCTTGCCCCAGCCGCCTGGATGCCGTGGGCAGGAGCACGAGGCCTGTCTGCGGCTCCCTGGGTGAATGGAGCCCCGGTGTCGTCAGGATGGGGAGCTTTCCCAGCGGACGCCAATCCACCTGAACTCCTGCTGCCCCCTGGCCAGGTGGCTCCTCCTGGGCAGCCTGGGTGGGGCAGCAGGCTCTGAATGCCCAGGGGGAGGACGCTCCCCACAGCCTTGATTTCAATCTTTGCATTTTCTCTGTTCAAAAAGATTTCTAACGTATAGCATTCATAGTAATAAAAATATTGTTATAAAAGAAAAACCAACACTATCTGATATGAGCAGAAAAGACGAGACCTGAGAGGGGCGGGGAATGAGCTTGTCCCCCGCGGCCCGTTTAGGTGTATGCACGAGATCTAGAAGTTTTTAACCCCCAAGTGAACACAGGTGACATTGACGAGCGCCTGGACCTGGGGCTCCTGGGAATTCACTCTGCATACCTGCAGCATCTCCCAGCCACAGAGCCCCTTCCCCAGTCGCATTTCACTCCTGTGAGTCAAGAATCATTGGCTAAACTGAGCTCGCAGCTGGCTCCAGAGAGCAGGCTCAGGCACACGCTCCGAGCGCCTTGGTGGGGTCGTGCTTTGCTTAGCACCCAGGACCCTGGGAGTCAGCCCCGAGAAGAGGACTGTTCCATGCGGTGGGCCCAGGCTGGCCCTGGCCCTCCTCCTCCTCCTCACCTCTTGAACAGGCGGCTGAACTGCAGGACGTGGGCGGAGGCCAGCACGCCCAGGACTTCTTCCACGTTCATCTCCTCATCCTTCAGGTAGAGGTTCTTCAGAGCCGTGGCGAAGGCTGGGGAGGAGCAGGCAAGGGAGGCCATCAGCACGAGGCTCCGCACGCCAGGCAGCACCCCAGGGCCTCAGGACTCCTGAGCTGGGTAGGCAGAGACGCCCTTGGAGATAAGGCACCAGCTGGACCTGGGGCTGGCACTGCCTGGCCCCTGACGACTCCCCAGGGGTAGGTCAGCTTGGGGCCAAGGCAGGTTGGGTTCTTGTTGGAGGGCCTTGTTTTGGTTTTTTGCTTTGGGTCACCATGAGAGCGAGACATCTTGGGGATGTCTTCCAACCCGGGCTCTGTGGCCCTGAGGGATCACGAGTGCCTGAATTTGTGCAGAGTGCCATGAGTGGGTGGGTGGACTTTTTTCTCCAGAGACAACGTACAGCTTCCCATGGACTCTCCTTGGAGTCTGGGACTTTGGTAAGGAACAGAGACTCCTGGGAGGAGCCAGGACAGCTTGACTGTTCAAGAACTGGCCGGCCGTGGTGGGGTCAGGTGGGCTTGGCCTGTTGTGCTGTCACGGTGGACGCTGACCCAGGCTTAAGTGGGTCATTTCCTAACCCAGCCATTCATAGCTGTGTTGTCACGTATGTCACACATGCTACTTTAACCCAGCAACCCACGACTGGGAAAGGATGGGACAAAGGGAGCCCAAGAGAGCACCCTGGGGGAGGCCTCTGCTAATAGAAGCCGGTGGGGGTCCTTGGCTGAGGAGTGGGTGGGTGCTGCTGGGGAGCAAGGGTGGCCCGCTGGTGTGGGCTCGGGAGGGGCAGTACCACTGTCCCTGGCCTGAGAAGCCGGCTCCCTCCTTCCCACGCAGCACCTCCCTCTCCTACGGTTTCACTGTCTTCGGTTTCTCCCAGGTGCCCTAGCCCCCTTGTCCCTTCTTGTTTGTCACTGTTCGGCACTTTGGACAAGGCTGTGTGTGCCGCCTGCATGTTCTGAATCTGGGAATGCTGCCCAGTCAGTGGCACGTGGGGACAGAGAAGACAGGGCTGCATTACCAGCTCTGGTGACCGCTGGATCGTTGATCTTCAGGGAAATGATCATCCTCTTTACACGGTTGCGTTCTTGGACCTTCCCAGGCAACAGAGCTAGGGAAGGAAGTCAGACAGTGATCTGCAGAGGCCAGCAGCACAGTGGAGGCACAGGAGGAGGCTCCCACTGCCCTTCACTCGCTCACCTGGGTCTCCACAGGCATCCCTTTGCATCAGCTCGGTTAATGGATGCAAGTTTAAAATAAGTGCTTTTTAAAAAATACTTTCAGACTCACAGGAAGTTACAGAAGTAGTGTAGAGAGTCCTGGGGTCCCCTTGCTCAGCTTCCAATGACCCTTTATGGCCGATGCACATCACCCCCTGCCTCCCTCCCTCTGTCCCTCTCCGGCTGTCTCTGGTTAACCTGGGACTACACCTGAGCTCCTCGGGTAGGCAGGTCAGGCATTGAGTGGGAGCAGAGTGGCCATCGGTGGGGGACTGAAATGTCCTTCCAGTGGCTGTTGACACTTTGACCCACAGATCCCCAAACTGCAGATGCCTTCCACCAAGGAGTCCCAGGAGGAAGGACTGGGGTCACCAATCCACCTCCAGCCACCCCATCAGCTTGGAGCTGCTCTCAGGCAGCTCTGGGGCAGAAGCCAAAGTCCCACCCGTGGCCTCAGGACCTTCATGGCCTCCCACCCCCTCTCCTGCACCAGACCCCAAATATGCCCCTCTGGGTTTGTCTCCAGGACAGTGTGGCCCCCTCCTTGCTTCTTTCTCTTCGGGGACCTGCCCACGCGTGCCGGCTCAGAGACACCTTCCTGGCCCCCACGTGTGGTAGCAGCCTGCCACCTGCGGATAGGCCTTTCCTTCTGCGTGGACCAACCTGCCCACCACCCGCTGTTCCCCCTCAGGGCTGCTGGGGACGATCCACTGGGCAGGCACATTGATGGTCGGCTGGTGGCTCTGTCCCCAGAAGCCACGGCACTCTTTCACACACCGGGGCTCAGTAGATGTCACTGAGTTGCTGGAATGAAGACTCCATCATCAGTGAGCTCAAGGCTCCAGGCAGTGAAAAACCATTTGAGAGCCAAAATGTAGTCACACTTCAGGAAAAAAGACTCCAAATGACCCTTTTCTTCCATGTCCCTTCACTATCCTCTGGCACTTGGCTGTTCAGCTTTCACTCAGCAAACATGTGTTAAGCACTTACTAAGTGCCAGGCCTGTCCCACCTCTGGGTCATTTTCCCCTTGGCATGACCGCTCACCCTCCTGCCCCGCGACCCTGCCAACCACTCGGCCTGTGGCGGGTAGTGAGTGAGATGATGCCCGCGGGAGGCAGCGGTCAGGCCTGGGAGGGATCCTGTGTTTGCTGGGCTTTGCCACCATTTTGGGTTTGCTCAGATGGCAGGGCCCTGGCACAAGGCCTGGCATAAACTGAGCTCTTAACCCCTTCGTACCAGCCAGGCCAGAGTGAGCAGAAGACAGGTCAACCTCCCTCCAGGTGAAAAAGCCCCCAGATCAGACGGGGCTCATGTGCTCGTGAGTTTCTCAGTGGGTGTTTAGTAAGACAGCCCTTTCTTTTGGATTTTGTCCGGAGAATAAACGTTCCCTGCTCAGGGACAGCTGCACCTCCATGCTAGGTGGAAAGGGACGGAGCAGCAGAGAGGCTGTGCCTCTTCACAGAGCCCAGAAACCTCCTCTGCTGCCGACTCCAGGGTAGCAACGTGGACACCCTCAAGAACAGGAAGGCGCGTGGGGTCGAGAACACAAGCTGTCCTGGGGAGGTAAGCTCTGCTTTTAAAGGCACGCAGGACTTTGCTCCCACGGAACTTCCTGGAGACATGGAGCCCCAGTGGGTACCTTGGGGGGACCCTGGAGAGTCGTGACAGTCAAGGGCCATGGGTCTCTTCACTGTGCCTTCCCTGACACTTCCAGCCAGGCCCAGCCTATGTCCCGGGGGTGGGGGTCATATCTGCAGAGCCACCCTGGTCTCAAGCCTCTTCTCTTCAGGGACATCGTTCTAGACCCGTTAAGACCGTAATGTTCACAGTGACCCTCCTGCTTCCCAGTGTGCTCGCGGTCTAGGTTGCCAGAGCCCTCACTGATGGCTGGGCACAGAGGAGATGGAAGAGGCTGTCCTGCTCTTGAGGACACTGGGACAGATGCGTAAGAGCAGTAAAAACCGTCCCGAGCAGGAGTCACGGCTGCCACAGTCCTGCGGGAAAGCCATGAGTGGCTCTCGCTGCCAGCTCTGCCGGGGAAGAGCTGAGTCAGGGGCCCGGTGGCCAGGCAGCTCCCAGGGTGCCCTCTCCAGGCCCAGGAGGGGCGGCGGCCGGGGTCTCTGGCTGCCCATCTGGCTCTGGAATAACAGGGCCCTGCTGCCACATCCTGGAGCCGCAATCCCAACCTGACCGTGAATTTTCCACAGCACCTGCTTGTGAGTCAGCCCTGGGGGTGCCCATCTGTTGCCCAAGAAGTTGGCAACAAAGCTGGGAAGACATCAAACAGGTAAGAGCAGGCTGAGGTGTCCAGGACTTAAAGGAGGAAAAGAAAAGAAGGAGGGAAGGAAGGAGAGAGAGAGAGAGAGAGAGAGAGAGAGAGAGAGAGGTGTGACCTGAATTCTTTTTGGAAGGAGAAGTTAAAAAGAAAGAAAAGGAAAAGAGAAAAAAGGGAAAGAAAAGAAAAACCAGAGGCACACAGTAGGCCCCCACCAGCGTAGCCGGGGCAAACAAGCCAAGTCAGCACTAGGACTTCCTGCCTTCCAGAAAGCCCTTCGGGTACTCGACACGGTCCATTCCTCCTAAGAAGCATCTCGAGTTTCCATATCTCCCCTACTGACTTGGAGAACCCAGGGATGACCCCTGGAGGGCATGTGTGAGTGCTCGCTGGGGCCTGGCATTATTGCAGAACCCCCTCCGGTGACCTCCCTCGGGCTTCAGCGCCAGGGGATAAGAGCCTCCATCCCCCTGGACAGTGAGGGCCTGGAGGTTGGGCACACCTTGAGCTCACACCACAGAGCTCGCCCATATTCCCTGCAGGGACCCTGGTCTCAAAACAGATGACCACTCTCCAAGCTGGGGTCTCTGGAGCCCGAGGGCTTGGGGATCCACCCTGGGTCCGTGGGAAGTTACCTCGGCGGGGGCTTGAACCGCCCCGGCCCAGGGCGGCCAAGTACAGCTTGGTCAAGGTCTCCGACTGGAACAGCTGGGGCTGGTGGAGTTCCCACTTGAAGCCGAGGCATTCGAGAGTCACGTCTGGGGGGAGAAAATGACACTGAGCAGCGAGGCAGGAACGTCCCCACACAGAGCCGTGTGACTGCTCCAGACACTCCTTTCAGTCCCAGCTGTTGAGCAGGACAAGTGGCAAGCAGCTGCCTCAGGTCTCAGTGAGGTGCAGCCCTAAAGGAGCTCAGTGACCTGGGGGACACCAGGGCAGCCTCACTGAGCCAGCGGTAAACCCAGGGAGCTGCCGGCAAAGCTGGGGGGCTTCAGGGGCACACGGGCTGCCCTCCCATTTGGGGAAGTGGAAAAGGTTTCCCAGGAACCTTTCAGGGACACTGGCTGGAAACCTCTGGTGGGACCTCATGACAGTGTTTCTCAATCAGCACTGTTGACACTTAGGGCAGGTGACGACTGTGTGAGGACTGTCCTGTGCATTATGGATGCCCGGCAGCATCCCGAGCCTCTACCTACTGGATGCCAGCAGCACTCCCCTCCCCAGCTGTGACAACCAAGAAGGTCAGCAGACATTGCCAGCGTCCCTGGGGAGCAAAATCACTCCTGTTCCCTGCTGAGAACTTCTGGGGTGCTTAGTACCTACACACTACCCATCTGAAAGGCCACAGAAAAGTCACAACACAGCGGGAGGCCTGTCAGAGAGGCAGGGTCTGCTGAGTCTCTCTCCTCCAGGGAGCGGAGATGAGCACAAAGTTCATTATTTCACCAGAAAATATGAAATAAAATGGCAATGTGGGCTGGGGCTGGGGCTCAGTGGGAGAGCGCCTGCCTACCACGTGTGAGGCACTGGGATCCATCCTTAGCACCACAGAGAAATGAACAAATAAAACAAGGTGCGTGCCCATCTACAACTACCAAAAATAAAAGAAATAAAGACAATGTGAAGAAGGCCCTTTGCAAATTGCAGAAGGTTTTAAATCATTTTTTTAATGTCTCAACTTTTCCTTTTTTAATATATATATTTTTAGTTGTAGATGGACACCATTTTATTTATTTGTGTTTATGTGGTGCTGAGGAACAAACCCAGTGCCTCGCACATGCCTGGAGAATGCGCTGTCACTGAGCCACAGCCACAGCCCCCACAGAAGGTTTTATAGGGGGAATCTTGCCTGTGGATTGCATGGATGATTTAAAAAGAAGAGACTTTCCCAGGAGGGCAGGTGGAGTATCCAGGGACACCAGCCAGGTGAGGCGGGGTGACAGGGCTCTGCACAGCTCAACTCCTGTGTTAGCACAGAGCTGGAGGAAGGCAGGACGCAAGGGCTGAGCTCCTCAGACCCTGAATTTCAGTGCTAGACAGGACCTGTAGGGCTAATGAGCCCCATCCAGTTACTTCTTGGCTTTGCCATCAGTGTGACTGTGTGACCTGGGATATCTGTTTCTTCTTCCTGTTACTATTCTTGCTATTCTCCTGGGGATCACACCTTACTTCTTGGATCAGCCCAGGTGGTCTGGTTATGCTGAATTAGAAAAAAAGATCCCACTCTTAGGGTGACCACAGGCAGGAGCATAACTGGATCAAACATGGTCCCTCACTGGACATTGCTTTCCACTTTCAAGGATGGCCAATGCAGGACAGACATCGCCAGTCGATCCTAGAGCTCTTTCTCCCAGTCAGGAGATAGCCTCAAAAGACTGACCTTTTCTGGGTCAATCAGAATTGATGGGTGAGAAGAAATCTATTAGTCTCTCCTTGGAAAGGGGCTCAGCTCTGATCTCAGGCAGCACTACATGGGGTTTATCCTTCCCAAAAAACTTCTTTAAGGGCTGACTTTGGGCTGGGGGAATAGCTCAGTGGGTAGAGCCCATGCCTAGCATTATTAGGCCCTGGGTTCAATCCCCAATATCTCAGGAAAGAAGGGAGGAAGGAGAGAGCTGACTTGTCTAGGTTTCTTGTGGCTCAGTGGACCTTTGTTCAGAACTGGGTGGTCCGGTTCTGATTCTTGGTTCTATTTCAGGAAAGTCCTCTTGGACAAGCGCAGATGTGGATGTCCAAGTCATAACTGGTTAAAGCCCAAAGGGCATAAAGCAGCCCAAAGCAGCTGCCTGTGCTGAACGTCACTGTTTAGTCTTCCAATCTAAGGGAGACTCGTTAGTTGGTTTGTCCTTGTGTGTTTACTGAGCTTGGTTTTCATTCTTCATGTATTTGACAAATATTTACAGGCCAGTGGACAGGAATGGTAGCTTCAGGTCTAGTGATCTGAACTGTAAAGACCGCAGAGTCCCCTAAAGTCAGCCACATTCTGATTTCACCCACAGATGACAAAACTCACCTGCTTCCCCGTTTTGGCTGGCCTTGTCCTTCAAATTCTCCGTGAAAATTTTCTGGATTTTTGGAATACGTAACCTCAAGGAAAAACACAAACCAAAGAATCCAAGAGTTAATCCTGACGTTTTTCTCCAGCTGGGACACACGTCACTCCAGTGTGTGCTTCTCTGCAGCCACCAGCAACCACCTTGTCACATCATGCCCTTTGGGGGAGCTTCCTCAGGTCACTGTGCGTGGATTTGACCACTGCAGGCTGCCTCATGGCTGGTCCCCAACACTGACTCCCATGTCCAGGCGGTGGGTCGGTCTTACCAGGGAGGTATTGAGGCTGCCCCTGGCTGCCCAAACTACACCTTATTTGGTGAGTCTCTAAAACATGGCAGATGGTAGGTGCTCAATAAATATCCTTTGGAGAAAACAACAGCATGTTCTACCCACTTTGGGGACTAACTCACCAATAATTTTGTTTGACAGTTATACAGTCCCCAGTCACAGTGCCTCTGGCCTGCTCCTCCTGCCAGGGTCCAGCCCCTAGGGCCCAGGCTGGCCTGCTGAGTGCCATCATGTCTGGCTGCTGGCCTCCACCTGATGATACTCTGTTGCATTGGTCCATGGTCTTTGTCTTTATTAATATGACCTTTACCTAAGCTCCTCCCAGTCACTCACTCCTCCACCCCCACCGCCAGCCCTCCTTCACAGGATGCAGTGCCTGAGCCCTGCAGAGCTGGTCCTGACTCTCCTGCTGAGTGTCCCCACCGCCCCCTAGTGCTCCCAAACTCCTTGGCCCAGCTAAGAGCTCCTGCGTCACTCTCTACCTCATGCCTCATTGCCCCCCCCCCCAATCCAGCCCCTTCTGACAGCTTCAACAGCAGGCGGGCTCCCGCTTCCTCTCCCCCACAGGCCCTGCCCACAGGCCCCAGCGCACTCTTGCTCTCCTGCTTGCCTTTTTCCTTGAAGGGCTCCTACACACCTTCAGGGTGGACTTTGCTGTTGCCTTGTCCAGTGAAGCTCGGCCAGCGCCCCCCACCCCCACCCCAGGATGAGCATCACTGAATCCCCTTCTGGGTGACTTGTGGCTGCCCAATTACTCAGGGTCCTCTGCACCACAGGGCACTGTTTACCGCTCTGCCCTGTGGTTCAGATCTGCAAGCCATCATGTCGGGGCTCAGTGGGTGTCTAAATGGATGAATGACAAATAGATAAGTGCTTTTCCACAAACACTATGTACTCAGCCCACTAAGCAAGGAAATGAAACAAAACTTGAGTCACATATTTATGGTTTGAGGGTGGTCATCCCAAAAAGGCCAGCCAGCCAAGGAGCACTTGATGAGCACATCTGGTCCCAGTAGTGTGGCGTCTCCTGAGGCATGCTGTTTTCCTGCACTCCCAGAAGCCCGCACGGGCCAGGGTGCGTGGAGGAGCTGTGAATAATACTGCCCGTGCTGCCCTTTCCAGGGCCAGAGAGGGTTGGGAGTGACTCAGTCTCAGGAGGGGCTCAGGGAGCATGAGTTGTTTACCCACCAGGACTGTGGGCAGGACCCAGCCACCCTCACCTCCTCCCTCAACCCCCTGGGGGCTTGGGTGACATGTTTGGGAACATAGAGCTTGACAGGGTCAAGAGTTTGGACCATGTCTTCAAAAGGGAGCAATGAGTTTTGGAAAATATGGGGCAATGCCCATGAGCTCAACCGTGCTCACAAACATCCCTGTCACCAGCTGAGCCAGCAGGTGCCAGACAGCACAGTGAGCACCCTGCCTCCTCCGGGGGTCCTGGTGCCTCTCAAGGTGGCTCTCCATCATTCCGGCTCTGCAGAACCCAGCGAGTGATGGGTGGATGGCATCTCTTCACCTTTGGGGGACTAAGCGGCCTGAGAGGAACGACGTGGCAGATGGAGACGTGGGGACTGCGCTCCTAGGCTGGGAGCTCCCTCCCCCAAGTCACGGCCCATGATGGAGAAAGGAAGGGGATCCTCCAAGTTTCTCAGGGACACATGGCCTCCTTGAGGAGTCTCACAGACCTGGGCTGGGTCCCAGTCCTTCCGTTTTCTGCCTGCAGCCTGGGACCAACCTGTGTCTCAATGCTTTCCTCATAAAATGGAGATGTCTAGGTGGCCAGAGGGCAAACGTCCGGGAGGCCGTGTCCACGTGCACTCAACTGACATTTGCTCTTCCGCTTCCTCTCTGACTCACACCCTCAGGCTCTCGGCCCACTCTGCTGGAACTGCTCTCTGGTAAACATCTAGGGGTCCCATTTTGACACCTTGCCCCTTGGTGTGACCTCCCTCTGCCCTTGGGATGGGCGTGGTATTGCAGGCCAGATGGGAGGAAAACATCAGGCAGGGTCACCAGCTGGGGAGCAGGGAGGGCTCTGGGCCCCCGTCCAGCACCATGACCCTTAGAGTCTTAGTGGGGTGGCCCTTCCCCTGGGCCCTGCCTGAGGAGTGCTTCGCCCATGCTGGATTTCTGGGTTCAGGTGACAGTGTGCGTCCACACATGCCACACCTCACCAGGGACTCTGCCTGACATGCACGTACTTGTGCCAAACGCTGTTCTGAACTCTTTCCTTGGATTATGCCATAATTCTCACTGCAACCCCATAAAACAGCATATCCTGTTTGCAGATAAAGAAACTAAGGCACAAAAGGATAAGGTTGTTTGAAAGGAAGCCAGCATTTCCCCCTCCCCCATGCCCCAGGCCCTGAGGAGGAGAGCAGGACGAGGAGTACGAGAGCCAAACTAGCGGTGTTGCAGCATCTCTGAGCACTGGTCTGAGGGTCCACAGCATTGTGGACACAGATGCAACCAACTGGCCAGCTGGGCAACACCCAGGCATGGGCCTGCTCAGGACAGGACATAAATGGGAAGTTGGAAGCCCGTATCCCAGCTTTCTACCCGAGAGCCTTTACCAACCAGAAAACTAGATGGATCCAGCTCCTGTCCAAGCACACAGCACCCTCAAGTGGAAGAAGCCACAATTACAGCATCAGCAACAGGAACAGGGCTTGCTGTGGGATGGATGGAGGGTCTTGTGTTCAGGGGAGGGAGGGAAGTCTTGTGTACAACCAGGCTCCCCATTGGCCAGGGGGTCTGGAAGGGAAGGGAGGGAAGATGTGGCCACTAGCTCAGCAAACAGAGGGCAAGCAGGAATTGTGTGCCAGACTCTCCCCCAGGGGTGCAGCCCCTGCTCATCAGACTTGACCTTGAGCTCATGAGATAGGTACTGCCAGCCGGAGTGCATGGAATCCAACCAGGTGGAGGCACTAGGGAAATGAGGAGTTCCTTCTGCAATAGGTCCAGTGTGTTGTGGGGACAGGTATGAGAAGACTCAGAGCATGGAGGAGTGAAAGACCCGCTGGCTGCTGAGGGGCCATGAGATTGAGGGGGATCAACTGATGGGGTAGAAATGGGCATTTGTGAGAGGTGTCCAAACACTCAGCCACCAAGTTTGGTCAAGAAATTATTCAGTTCCTGGACGGTACATTTAGAATCTTGTGAGGGTCTCCAAGTTCCAGGTGCAAAAGAAAAGTCTAGAAAAAAATATTGTCAGCCTCTCTCTGCATTCTTGTCACCACCTTGCCAATGTGCCCATGACAACCCCTCCATCCAATCAGGGTGGCCCAACCACAGGTGCGGGTTCCCTCTACCTTTCTGGGTTCTTCAGAGTTTCCTCAATGTCTATGCCCAAAGCCTGGCACATCTGGGGGAGTGCCAGCAGGTCCCCGAAGAAAGGCTCCTGAGGCAGACGCCACCGGTTGGTTGAGCCGACAATCCGGCGCTCCAGCCGTGCTTTGTGTTGCTGGGTGATTAAAGAAAGAGAAAATCTTAACTTGCTGGGCATGCCAGGGTTCCCAAATTGTACAGCAGGAAGAAAATCAAGGCAAACTTTAAATTGCTGGTTCATTTTCAAACATGCTACTATTTCTCATAGAGTCTCTTCTCAAGATAAGGATGCTGTCTGTATTCCATAGACCAAGGATCTAAAGCTACAAAGTTATTTGGAATTTAGTATTAAGGACAGGAGGGCCCAGAGGCCAAAGTTCAGGGGGAAAAATGGTTTCCTTCACAGGCTGCTCTGAAGGGTTCCCAAGTCATAGTGTTTGGCTTGAAGAACTGTTCTTTAAGTACCCTAATGTCATTCAGAGAGACTCTAAACTAAGGAGATCCTGGGCAGGGGCCTTTCTTTTTTTAGCAGAATATACAAAACATAAAATGCATATTTGAAAAATATGAAACACATTATTCATTTTTTAAAGGGTACAACTCAGTGACATTTAGCACATTGATAATGTCACGTGACCATCACCACTACCAGTTCCAGAACTTTTTCATTGCCCCACAAAAGAAGCCCTGTACCCGGGAAGCTGTCACTCCTCTCTCCCCTCCCCGCCCTGGTGACCTCTAAGCTGCTTTCCGATTCCTCCTATTTGCCCGTTCTGGATATTGCGTGCATGTGGAGTCACGTGGTTCAAGGCCTTTGGAGTCTGGCTTCTTTCATTTAGCAGCATGATTTCCACACTGCCTTCCTTTTCTAGGCGGAATAACGGTGCACTATGTGGTATGCGGCATTTTGTTTATCTAGTCAGCGAAGGGACAGGGTTGTGCCTCCCCCTAGGGCTATTGGGAAGAGGCTGCTGTGCATATTCCTGGGTGAGCTGTTACTGACCGCCCGTCTTCCGATTTTTATTTGTTTGTTGGATACCCAGGAGTGGAGCTGCAGGGTCACTTGGAATGGGGTCTGACTCAGAAATTTTCTTGAGGCTTCAGAAGAACTTCAGCTATTTCCTTAAGGGAGTGGGAGACCACCCACCATGAAAATCAACCTCAGACTCAAGACTCAAAGAAACCAAGCAATAAAAAAGCACCAGGAAAAACACATGAATGGACCTAAATAGTCCTAAGCTATCCAGGCACCAGGAGGGTGGTGGAGGGACTGCGGGCTGTGGAATGGAGACTCTGAGCACAAATCTTTTTTTTTTGTGTGTGTGTGTGTGTGTGTGTGGTGCTGGGGTTTGAACCCAGGGTCTTGGGCATTTGAGGTGAGCACTCTACCAACTGAGCTATATCCCCAGCCCCTGAGCTCAAATCTTGTTATTGCCACTTACTAGTTGTATGGCATTGGGAAAGTCACTTTGCTCTTTTTTGAGCCTCTCTTGTCCTCATGTAAAGTGGAATCAGGTGGAATGGGAAGGATCTATGACAAAGATGATGATCATGGCAACATGGGATGATCATGACGATGGTGATGATGGTGGTGGTATGATGATGGTGTTGATAGTGGCGATGTTGGCGGTGGTGATGATGGTGGTGATTGTAGTGGTGGCAATGGTGATGTGGTGACGGTGGTGGTGGGGACAGTGATGGTAATGACGGTAGTGATGTTGATGGTGATAATGGTGACGGTGGTGATGATACCATCTTGCCTTCAGCGTTTTAAAAGGGATCAAGTAAAGATTGAGAAATATGCCTTAGCATAGCGCCTAAAATGTGGCGGGAGACTGAAAACTGGCTCGGGGTCCAGACGTAGTCCTGCTGTTGTGTGCGGTATGCACAGGGGTCAGTGCAGACAGTGGGCTGCTCTCTGCTTTCTGGGCGGAGCTGCCTGGACATGCTCTTCCCAGCAGAGTCAGCCCACAGAGCTGGAGGCCCTGGGAGGTGCCAGCCCTGAGGAAACCTGGCGATCCTGCTGAAACCCGGTGCCTCTCCTCACCATGACCTCCTCCTGTGAGGCTGATCTACTTACCGGATTCAACATCTTAATGAACGGTAGTGGAGATACACAGCAGGAAAGAGGTGAGCACCTGAAAGGCAAAAGAGCCAGATCTGAAATGTTCAGTAAATTTCCAAAGGGTCCTTCGAAATACTATGGGGGAAGTTGGCCTAAAGAATCTATATTTTGCCACAAAGTAATGAGTCAGTCTCAAATGTGTGTTATTTGTCAAATCGAGAGGATATCTGGTTTTTAAAGGCAGGCACAGGAGTAGACAGACAATTCTCTGCCATTGTGCTGGGAAAGTGACTCAGATATAGCAGCACAGGGACAGCCTAGGATTCTCTGCACTGCAAAGCTGAGGAGGACCAAAGGCCGACAACAAACAGGCTGATTGTAAAATTTACTAAAGGAGTAATATTGTCATTTTTTTAAATATCTATTTTTTAGTTGTAAGTGAACACAATACCTTTATTTTATTTTTATGTGGTGCTGAGGATCGAACCCAATGCCTCACCCAGGTAGAGTCAGTGCTCTACCTCTGAGCCACAACCCAAGCCCTGGGTAATATTATTAATAGGCCCAAACAACAGGTGTGGCCAGGGCTGTCCTGGACCCAGGGGACTTATGGCCAGCACAGCTTAGAGGGCTTGAAAGGGGATGAACAGAGGATTTCCCAACTGTCTTTCAAGGCAATTTGTTTGCATGCAACAGAAACCAATCTGGCCGGGTGCAGTGGTGCATGCCTGTCATCCCAGGGGCCTGGGAGGCTGAGACAGGAGGATCATGAGTTCAAAGCCAGCCTCAGCAAAAGTGAGGCACTAAACAACTCAGTGAGACCCCGTCTCTAAATAAAATACAAAATAGAGGGATGTGGCTCAGTGGTTGAGTGCCCCTGAGTTCAATTACCCCCCCCCTTTCCCCCCAAAACCTTGCAAGTCAAGTCAGCCTGGGCTGGGGTGTCGCTCAGTGGTGGAGCAACTGCTTAGCAAGTGTGAGGCCCGAGGTGTGATTCCCAATACCATAAAAAAGATGTTTCCTTCATGGCTGGATTTCCACCTTGCACGGGAGGTTTCTCCCGTCCCCAGGGAATACAAAGCTGCTTCTCTCACCCCCTTCCCACCCAGGAGTTAGAATGGCCTGCAACTCGCTCTCTGAAAACCCCTCTCCAGCTTTCCATGTCCCTTGATTTCAACCCCAAGACCTCAATGTGGTGGAGAGGAATGGGAGAACAGAGGTCAGCCTTCCACAGCAGGGCAGACCCAGGGCAGGCCCAGAATGAGACACGCCACCAGGGCTCCAGGATGGCAGGAACCCTTTGGCTTGGAGAGAGGGTTCTGGGGTTCGCCCGGAGCTCTCCCAGCCACTGCTCCCTTGGCAGGATACCCGGGAGCCTCAGGAGCTGATCTTGAACCAGGGTACCTCCATGGCCCAGAACGTGTGTGTTCTTTTCTCCCCCCACCAGGCAAGATGCCCTTAGTGGCTTCTGAGTCCCTCTGAGTAATGGCAGCCGCTCCTGGTGGCCCCTCAGCTCCCAGAGCCCCTGCTCTCCAGCCGGGAATTCCCGAGGCTCTTCTGCCAGCTGAGCCCAGCGTAGGCAGGACCCGGCCCTCCGAGCCCTCTGGGTCTCTAGAGCGGATAGAAGAACCAGTCCTACTTACGGTTGGGAGGCCCTCCGCCCAGCACTGGAGAGTTTACTGAGGAGATGTGTCCAGGGGAGGGACCCTCATGGCACTGTCTCTGAATTTCAGGAGGGCTGGCGGCTGGCCACTTCTGAGCCTGGATTCCGATAGCTCTGATGACATCTGGAGCTCACCCTTTTCTTCTTAGCTGGGCGGCTTGCCTTGGTTTCCTGGGGGCATTGCGGGCACCATGGCGACAGCAGGCAAGGTTCCAAGCACTTCCTGTTCTGGGTTCTGGTTTCAGCGCAGGACGGGGCGTACCCCAGGTTCTCAGAGGGGAACTGAAGTCCTCACTGTGAGCAAGGGCTTCTCACGGGGACTAACTGGGTCCCAGGTACCTCCTCCCCAGACTCCTCCTAGAGAAGCAGTGCCACTCCGTTCCCCTTAGAGCACCAGGATCTTCCTGGAGCCACCTGTGGCCACCTGGAGGAGTCTTTATAAAGGCTTCCCCGAGGGTCAAACCCCGAGTGTCAGCTGTAAATGAGGCTAGACTGCAGGTTCTCAGATCTCCCCTAGCTCTGACATTCTGGGGGACTCTAGCTTTCTGTATCCAGAAATGTTTTGATAAAAATACTTCAATAAAAATGGAGTTTTACAATAGTAAGAGCTCTGCCTAAGGGGTTGCTTTGTTGATGGGTAATTTTTCACTTTGTTCTCTCTGAGAACAAGAACTACCTAAAAGTCAAGGGCAAGACCAAGAGCTTTTGTGCCGGGGACCAGGGTGGAACCTTGCCGTGTCTTCAGTGACTTGGCTGGCAAAGCCTCTGCCCCCCAACCGAGGAACGCATCAGCCACATCCACCTCGAACCGGGTTGCAGCAAGCCCTAGGCATAGTAATAGGAACCTGAAATTGGGCAGATTGTGAGATCGGAGGATGGACTGCCTCCCAGGTTTCTTCTCAGCCTTTCCTGAGTTATGGAAATTACAAAGTAGCACAGGAGAGTAGCTTCTCTACCTGTAATTGTGTTCAAGAAAATAGGAAGCCCACATCACACACACACACACACACACACACACAAGAAAATATAAGACACTACATAGTTGGGAGGCAACTCTGAATTTACCTCTCTCCTTATCCTGCAATCCTGCCCGTCTTGATGCCCGAACTCTTCACAGAGTAGTTGGTTACTCTGGAGGATTCGGTGGGTGGCTTCCCCATCTCTGTCTTCTAGGAACCCCACAACTGAACTTGGCTCTTGGAAAGTGCTTGACAAATCCTCTAGAATTGGTTGATTGAATGTACTACTCAACAACTCTGCTTTTGCACGTGGATGGATGTTGTGTGTGTGTGCATGCCTGTTCAGACATGTGGGTATGTGTGGGTGCATGTGTCCCTGTAGGTCCTGGTCCTGGTGCTAGTACACAGATGTCATTGTTGGCAATTGCATTCGTGTATTCATGAATGGGGTGGACTGGTTTTGAGCAGTGTCTTTGGGTTGTACATTGGATGTGGGGTTGGGGAATAAAATAGGAGGGGGTTTCGTGGTAGGCTATGACTGACCCTCGCAGCTGCTGCCATCTGGCTGAAGAACAATCGGTGCTCAGGGTTTTGTGTTTAGTGGCAGCAGCAGCAGCAGCTGGTGCCACAGTCAGACTTGAGGTGGGGTCCCAAGGAGCCCACTGTCGCTCTCCTCTTCGACTAGCACTGCCAGAGAGGCCAGGAGAGGCAGGAGGGATGCACTTGGCAGGAGAACAGTATGGCAAGAGACTGGGGGCAGACACGGCTTTTGTTTTACATTTTAGATCCTGCCCACCCTCCCCTGGGTAGCCAGCCTCTGACCCTGCTGCCCGGCCTGCAAGAGCCAGGGGCCGGAGGCAGAGCCTGCCTTCCTGAGCCAGGCCCTGGGGCTCTCACACTTGAAAAACGAAGATTTGTTCATTTTTGTTTTTCCTTTTGCAAATGCAACTCACAAGTTCAGAGGCAAAATATATTGAAAAGAAAAATAATTCGAATTCCATGGCCAAAGTTAACCATCAATAGAATATCAATATTTTGTGTATGTTTACATAAATTTTAAAAGATGAGATTGTACTCTACTTTTTTCACCTGAGTTGTTCACTCTAAATATTACAAATGTCTTCCCCCACATTCTTCTTTTAATTCTAATCTGTTATAAATGACCAGCAGAATGCATTACAATTCATATGACACATATAGAACACAATTTTTCATATCGCTGGTTGTGTACAAAGTATATTCACCTCATCGTGTCTTCATACATGTACTTAGTGAGGTGATGCCCACCTCATTCCACCCTCTTTTCTACCCCCATTCCCTTCCCTTCCTCTCCAACTCCCTTCCCCTATCTAGAGTTCGTCTATTCCTCCTATGTTCCTCCTCCCAACGCCACTATGAATCAGCCTCCTTATATCAGAGAAAACATTTGGCATTTGGTTTCTTGGGATTGGCTAACTTCAATTAGCGTTATCTTTTCCATTTACCTGTAAATGCCATGATTTTATTCTCTTTTATTGCTGAGTAATATTCCATTGTGTATGTATACCACATTTTCTCTATTCATTCATCCACTGAAGGGCATCTAGGCTGGCTCCACAGTTTAGCTATTGTGACTTGTGCTGCAATAAATATTGATGTGGCTATGTCCCTGTAGTATGCTGTTTTTAAGTCCTTTGGGTATAGACCAAGGAGGGGGATAGCTGGGTCTGATGGTGGTTCCATTGCCAGTTTCCCAAGGAATCTCCATACTGCCTTCCATATTGGCTGCACCAATTTGCAGTCCCACCAGCAATGTTTGCCTTTTCCCCCACATCCTCGCTAACATTCTTGAGCATGATTGTTTATGGTGACATTGTTTCCTGGTGTGGAGCAGATGGTGGTTGGTGTAACCAGCCCCCTCTGCTGGACATCAGTGGTGGGTGCAGGCCCTGCAAGCAGGCAGGCTGAGTGTCTGCACAGGGGAACTGCAGCAGCGCACACCGACAGCCACATAGACACACACACACATGCTGCACCTTTCCTTTTAAAGTTTGGTCCTTTGCCCCCATCCTATCCCAATTCCAAGACCATGGTGTGTGTGTGTGTGTGTGTGTGTGTGTGTGTGTGTGTGTGTGTGTATGCAGTGTAGGGGTGTATCGTAGAAGAAGCCTGCGTAAGTGGACAGATCTGCTTTCTCTACGCTGCTTCTTCCTCTTCACCCAAAACTTTTCCCAGATAATTGCCCCTGGACTTGAGTAAATTTTCATGTAAGTTTTCAATTAAAAGTCTGTTGGAGGGCTGGGGTTGTAGCTCAGTGGTAGAGGGCTTGCCTCCCATGCATGAGGCCCTGAGTTCGATCCTCAGCGCCACATAAAAATAAGTAAATAAATAAAAATAAATATATTGTGTACATGTACAACTAAAAAAATGTTTTTAAAAAAAGAAGTTTGACGGAGCTGGGGTTGTGGCTTAGTGGTAGAGCCCTTACAAGTCACATGTGAGGCATTGGGTTTGATTCTCAGCATTGCATATAAAAAATAAATAAAATAAAGGTTTATTAACAACTAGAAAAAAATTTGTAAAGTTTGAAATACATTACCCAGGACTTTCTTGACATCCCCCCTGTGGGGACCACTTCTGGGGCACCCAGCTAAGCAGGTCCTTGGGCTCCCGCTACTGGCCACTGTAAGGAGTGTCTTTCTGCTTAGGGTGCCTTAGTCCTGATGGCTTCTACACAGAGAGCCTGGCCTTGGCTGGGCCCATCACTTCCTGCAGCATCTGAGCTCAGGGATCCAGGGCCTTAGTCCCACCCCTAGAGTTCTTAGCACATACATTCTCCACAGAACTTTCAGGAACTGAGCTGTAAGTCAAAGATAACAAATAAACATAAATGAAAATAGCTCTAGCACCTTTCTCTGAAAACTCTTACCTGGTGGTGCCCAGCATGCTCAGGATGTTCAATGACTAGACACCTGAGTCCAGTCCATGAGAGGGAAAGAGAAGAGCATAACGTACATCAGCATCCCAGCTACTGGGGTGGGGGGGGGATGTCCAAACAACTGCTTTCTATCTCACCTGACTTGGAGCATCAGTGAGGAGCTGGCACATTGGAGTTCCTAGGGGTCAAAAACAAAAGAGAACTCAATGTCTTGCTGTAGCGCTAAAACACCAGCAGCACTGCAGACGGACATAGGGAAAGAAAAGGCTGCAAACTCCTAAAAAAAAGCTGATGATCATTCCTGATTAAATGCACAAGCCCAGAAGAGATACACCTCCAGAGAGAGTTTGTGAGGCCCCCAGAATTAGTAGCCAGGCTGTTTGTTTCTTATGAATGTTTTTTTTCCTGTTTGAAAATAGTCTATAAAGACTGGAAGAGGTGGTTGTTTGTTAAAATAATAATAAAAAAAAACCAGCAATAAATAAATAAATAAAATAAGAAGGCACATGAAGAAACAGGGAATCATAGCTCAGTCAAAAGAATAAGTTTCAAAAACAGACCGTCAAGAAATGGAGATCCGTGAGTTACCCGACAAGGAATTAAAAATAACCATCTTATAGAAGTTCAATGTGTTATAAAAGAGCGCAAACAAAATCAGAAAAATGCTATATGAACAAAGTGAAAATATCAACAAAGATAGGAATCATAGAAAAGAACCAAGAAGAAATTCTGGAACTGAAGAATACAATAACTGGTTGAAAAAAATCCCTAAAGGAGTTGACTAACATATGTGATCAAACAGAAGAAAGATAGACTGTGGTGTGGCTCAGTGGTAGAGCACTTACCTAGCATGCGTGAGGCACTGGGTTCAATCCCTGGCATCATATAAAAATAAACAAACAAAATAAAAGGTATTGTGTCCGTCTACAACTAAAACTTTTAAAAAATTTTAAAAACAGAAGAAAGAATGTGTGAACTTTTAAAAAACAGGGCATTTGAAAATATTGAATTAGAGGAACAAAAAGAAACAAGAATGAAGAAAAGTGAAGAAATCCTAAGAGACTTATGTAAACCTTCCAGTAGACCAATACACTGGAGGAGGAGGAGACAAACAGCAGGAGGCAGAGAGCTCATAGGAGAAATTAATGCCTGAAATCCCCAAATATAAGGAAGGAAATAGAGATTCAAATTAAAAGTAGAATAGTGGTTGGTCACGGGGTAGGTTAGGAGGGACAGGGGATTGTTCAATGGATATGGAGTTTCAGTTTTGCAAGATGAGAAAGTTTCAGAAATCTGTTGTACAACAATTTGGTTATAGTTAATAATACCGTAATATACACTTAAAAAGGGTTAATATGGAAACCTGTTATGTGTTCCTGTACCAGAGTAGTAAGAATGTTAATGTTAGAAGAAACTGTTAAATATTAAAAAAAAAAAAAAAAAAAAGGAAAGAAAAGAAACCTCAGCATCTTACCAGGATCTGGGGAAGGAGCAGTCCCAACATCATCTGTATTCTCTCTTTCCAGTGCCCCATGCAGAGCACTGTTTTTCTCTCCTGGAGTCAGCCATCTGGGATGCAGGTGTCTGCAGGGAATGCTCCTTGGTCCCTCAGATATCACACCTAAGGGGCTGAGCCCCGAAGTTGAATGGAAAAGAAACCCCCCAGGACCCCTGCCCCCGTAAGTCATCAGGGACCCCTTCCATCTTTCCCTCCTGCTCTCATCCACATCTCTAACCTCAAAAAATAGTTTCAGCGTCTCAAGCCACCTTTAACTTGAGAGCCCGAGGGGAAGTGCCGAGCCGGAAAGAAATGTATTAGAAGCTTCAAATGACGACTGACTTGGCAAGCTGAGGCTCCTAAGGCCCTGATAATCTCACAGCTGCGGGGGGACTGTCCAGCCGTCCCATCCACGAGCACACACGAGTCCACAAGCCGACAGAAAGTAAGCAGAGGAGAAAAAGTGGCTGATCTCAACCCCGGTGGGCCCTAGAGGCCAGGCACTCCTCCCAACTGCACTTTGGGTAAGCAGAGATACAACACCGGGGTCCAGAGACGGTCAGTGGCCTGCCCTGAGCTCACAGCTAGAAGGTGGCAGGGCTGATGTGAGTTTTCCTCTCCATCTCCCTGCCAAACTGCCTGTGAGGGAGCAGAGAAGGAAGAGGGCTGCTGTCTTTCCACGCCCACCTTCTCTTTGGGGTCTCCTGGTCTCCTACCTCTGTCTCACCTTGACACAGCCCTTAAAGGTTTTGAGGGAATCACGTTGATGGAAATACTCCATTTAGTGCCCCAGTAAAGCATGTTGACGGACAATGGGGGGCTGACGCGGCACTTCCTGTAGCATCCCAGAGACAGAGCCACCTCCCAGGGAGGGCCAGGGAGGTGAAGTAGTTGTGCTGAGGTCATGCGAGGCTGGCCACAGGCAGGAGAGCAGCGTGGGGGCCAATCACACTCCTCCCTGGGGGCGGGGGAGCAATACATATGGGTATAGCCTTAGTGGAAGGCTGTTTGGCAGTGGGCTGCCCAGACTTTAAAAATGTGCACATGCTTAAGGGGTCAGCTGGGCTGCCACCAAAAGTATAAAAATATATATATTAAAAAAAAGAAAAACAAAAATAAAAGTCCTGATCCTGAGAAAGAACAAAGCAGCCTCTGAAACCTGGAGCTGGCCTGGCACTCAATGCTGGGCCTTGACCATAATCAATGTCACAGATCATCAGCATCAGGCCACTAGGACTGTGGAGGGTCCAGAAAAAACAAGATCGACCCCTTGAAGTGTCTGAGCAGAATGTGAGCATCATCCAAACCACAAAAGGGAGCAAAGATCCTGGCTTTTCACATACGGCAGTTTTAGAGAGGACGCAATGAAATTCATTCTTAGAATTGCCTGTCTCCCTGACAGCATCCGACCAGGAGCACAGCCCACTACCCTAACCTCTCCCAAGAACCACCTAATCCCAGGCCAAAGCCCTCCCCAGACCCTCTTCCTGAGCTGCCTCCGGCGCCCCCTGGTGTGCGTCCTGCCTCACTGCAGAAAACCACGAACCCAAGCCGCTCAAGCCCAGCGAGGGGCTCCGGAGTCAAACCTAAAGGAGTAGATTCCTGGACTTGCAGGACGAGGGCAGAACACCAAGCACCCTGCAAACGCACAGCCTCCGCAGGGGCTGGGCTAAGCACTGGGAATGCTGCGCTGCCCCTCAGCATTTACTGCTGTGACTGTTTACCAGAGGGCAGCTCATCGGGCTCCAGAGACGGCGTGGGACAAGTTAGAGGCAATGGGCCCTGGGGACTTGGGCTCACTGAAAGAGAATGACTACACATGGGCTGAAGGAAGACCAACAAGGGACAGGTCTGCCGCTGAGCTGAGCAGGTGAGCTTCGTCCACCTTGCAAGTCACAGAAGAGACCCCCGCCCCACCCACACCCCCATAGCTGAGGCTGCTAGGGGCCTTCCCTGTTGGGGGTGGTGGGCCTTTGTGAAGAGAGCAGCCCAGAGCCACTGTGCCTAGAAGATGACAGGTGAGCTGAGGGCCGCTGGGGTGCCTGGGCCTCACCCCACATCCCACTGACACACAACGAGAGACAGCCATCTCCACATCCCTGCTATGGACGGGGCCTTATTTGGAAATAAATATATCGGCAGATAAAGCTGGATCTCAAGATGAGGTCGTTTTGAATTTGGAATGGGCTCTCAGTCCAGCGCCAGGTGTTGTCTAAGGAGGGAGAAGGAAACGCAGAAAGGAGAAACCATGCGATGTCAGGGGCAGAGGTCAAGCCAAGGGACAGCAAGGGCGGCCAGCAACCACTGGAAGCTCAGAGAGGCCCAGAGCAGATCCGCCTTCAGAGCCCTGGAGGGTCCAGTGTCACCAACGCTCTTGGAACTTCCGGCCTCTGGAACAGTGAGTGTCTGTGGTTGTAAGCTGCTGGACCTAGGAACAAACACACCCTTTCATCTGAACCCCTCTCCTCCTGTCCCTGACCCTCTGTCCCTGAGCAAGTGGGGAGTAGTGAAGAGTCTGACGGCTGGCAACTGATTAAATAAGCAGCTTAATTAGCTGCCTCCTGGTCACTGCCTGCTCTTTCCTAATCATTTAGAGGGGAATAGATGACGTGTCAGGGTTGATCTTTGCACATCAAGGGCCAGACAGGAAGAGTGACACAGCCCTTTACTTCCCAGACCCAATACAAGGAAATAGATTTTGCCTCCTAAGCCAGAGGCTTTGTAAAAATAAAAATCTAAGTTAATCCAATGCATCCACTTAATTATTTAAGTAGCAAGTCAATATTTCTCATTAGCTTCATCTTACAAACCCAGCCGTGATAATGAATGAGAATCAGTGGACAAAGAAATGAGCCCAAAGAAGAGCAAGAGGCCAAATCTGATATTATTTCACGAGGGCAAGAAAGGCTCAACCCCTTCCCAGAAAATAAATCGCAGCCACACTCATTGCCAAGATCCAAAGAAAAAAATTTATTTACAATAGAGAATTTTATTTGAAACATGCATTTTTTTTTTTTAAAACAAATCAGCAAGTGCAGATCAAGTTTACACTCCTTAAGGCAAGAGTCCCAATGCACGCTGTACATGTTCATATTAAATCAAACCTGCTCACCTGGGAATCTGTGTACAAAGGGCAAGACCAAGGTCAGCCATGTGTTCATTAGAGAATCAGACAATCTCCCTGATACAGGAACTCTGAGGTCAACTTGCTATGAATTATACTAGGAAAATGCAAACCAATAGCAAGAAATCCTGATAGTCTCCTTAGCACTGCATACAATCAAATCAACTTTATTCAGAAAGGAAATACAGTAGTGCATACGAAAAGTGAAAACAGAGCCTGTCCGTGTGGGTGGAAGGACGGCAGTGCGCCCACGGCCATATTGCACGTGACGGTCAAGTCCCAGCATTTGGTTCAAAGTTAGCTTTTTCCCATTTTGGCAATCAGTTCATCACAGATCTTGGTGAGCTCTTCTATCTCTTTATTCTGAAAATGAAGGCAAGAATTAAGTTCTTGATGTTTGAAATCAAGCCATTCAGAAGATCACTGGACTCTTTGGGGCAATAGGGTTACCTAAAGCGGCAGGAGAAATAACTCAAAGGCAAACAATCTGAGTATACATCCCAGCTCTGGCTATGTGACCTTGGGCAAGGTACACAACCTCTCTGAACCTTGGTTTCCTTATCTTTAAAAGGTAACCCTTTTAAACATCTCTCTAAAAATTAAAAATGAGGCAAGAAATATAAAGTCCTTCTGGGTAAGTAGCCAGCACACAGTATGGACCTTGCCCCTCTATTTGCCTCTGACAGGTGGTCTGGGCTGAGCTCTTTGGAGGTTTACTTGAGAAATGGCCCAAGGCTGAAGCAATTCTACCTGGATGGAGAACACCAGCAATGTGTGGAAGATGCCCAGTAGGCTAAGTCAGTACCAGACTCGAATCCAGGGAATTTCATCTGTGTATTTTATCTCTAGAGCAAAAGGGAGCCTAGCAACCAAGGGGAAGGACAATGCTTGCCCAGGGCCATTAGCTGACAGAGCAGGGAGGAGCTGAGCATCCTGATTCCCAAGTTCTCTCCCTGACCTCCCCTAGTGAAGTGAGTTGGTACTGCCCAGGGCAGAGGTCACTGCGCCTGACCCACAGGCTGCTCTGGTCAGCCATGCTGCAGCCTGGCAGGGTGTGGGCGGACGAGAGAGCTGACCTCTTGGGGACAGTAGGATGTTTCCACAGGCCATCCGGGAGGCACACTGGACTCCTGATGCTCACCTGCCTATCAAGACCCCTCACCTCTGTCCAGCAAAGCCCAGCTGCTCTAGAAGCGATGCTGCCCAGACCACTCTCAAATGACCACTGGAGGATCCTAAGGTTGGGCCCTTATCTGGAATGGGCTGGCCACTGCCTAGAGACTCAGACTCATTGGCCTAAGCACCTAAGGCTCCTGGGCCACAGGGCTCCTCATCTAGGAACCCAGGGAGACGGGCACACCGTGCGCTGAGCACCAGATTGAAGGAAGGAAACCAGGGATAAGCCGAGCAACTCTGGGAAGTCCACCTCTATCCACGCGTGACCATGCGGGCCCTTTAGCCTGCCGCTGCCCATCCTCTGCAGAGCCTGGCAGGCACTGATCACTCTCCCACAAGCACACGGGCTGCAGCTTCCAGAAGCGTGCCAGCACATCACAGGTGCTAACAAATATTTGACTCATGAATGATGCTGACAAGGAAATGAAAAATGGAAATAAACCGCTGGGCAGACTGCGGTTCTAGAAGGGTGGAGAGAAAGTCTGTTTGAGGGCTAGCACTGAACCGGGCCTCCCAGAGGCTTCTCAGGAATCATGAACTTGTCTGTGGGGCCAGCTCTGCCTGGGAGCCCCATCTCTGTGTACCTGATGGACTAGCTGGCTGTCAGGGCACCAGCCCCCGCCCAGAGGCCCACCCTCCCCTGTCACCTTCTGCTCCAGCGTTCTTTCCAGGGCGTCCACTCGCAGCTGCTCCTTCCGCAAGCTGGCCTGGTAGGCGGCCTGCTCCTGCTGGGCCTTGCCTCGAACCTGGGCGATCTCAGCGTTGGCCCTGTGGGGAGAGGGGACCCAGAAATCAGACCTCTTCCTATAGGTGGCCGTAGATCACCGCAGACACCTCCTGCCTCCTTGTCCCTACCCTGGGCAGCGGGAGGGGCCGCCAGAGCTCCCAGCCCAAGGGCTGCGTTACCTGTCCAGCTTCTCCTCCGCGTGCACCTTCAGGGCCTGGTACCGCTGCTCCTCCTTCTTCACGCGGGACAGGTACTCCTGCGCACATTTCTTTAGCACCTCTTCATTCTAGCGTGGCAGAGGGCAGGGGTCAGAACCCCCAGGAGAAACGCCCTGACTCGGGCACCCCCAACTCTCTGATGCAGGTAGAACCCGGGTGGCCAGTCTGACTCCCCGGCCTCCTTCAGACTCCCACCCCGACACCGCGGGGCCCCCGACGTCTCGCCCAAACAGGCCAGCCTCCTGCTCTGCCCGCGAGCTCGGACGCACCTTGCGGAAACCTTCCAGGACCTCCTTCATCTTCTCGTACCTCCTGAAGAGGTCGGCCAGAGACTTCTCCACGGAGTTCAGGTCGGCCAGGGCTTGCTCCTTCTCCAGGACCAGCTGCTGCACTGTTTGGTGCGAGACCGACTTCTCCCTCTGTTCGTCCTCTGGGGGGAGAGACAAGAAGCCAAACGATGGAGCCTGTGGAACCCAAGCTGGGCCTCCGGAGCCAGCAGAAGCTTCAGGTGTAACTCAGCCCCATCAGCCCTGGCTGTCCTTGGGATGGGCCGACTCCCCAGAGCCCTCCCAGATGGTCTCTGATGGCTCCAGCATCTTAGGCCTGGGCCCATGCAATAGCACACGGGGTGGAAATTAGCCCTTATTCTTTAGCCTGCTCAATGCCTCACTGACAAAACTACACTGGGGACCTCACCGAGCCTATTTTTTCTGCTGAGAAAAAAGGAAGACATCACTACTGAATTTTGTGTGGGGCAAGATTAATGGGTGCTGTGGCCTGGGCTTCCCAAGTGCCACCAAGACTGACAGAAGGTCATTGGGAGAGACCTAAAATATCCCAGAATCCCAAAGCCCACAGGACAGTCCCCCTGCAGCTGTTTGAGGCCAACATTGACACTCCTCTGTGCAGTGAGGACTGGGCTCTAGGAAAACATCATTTCTGCAAAGTGAGTTTCTCAGTGATGCACGAAGAACAAGCCCCGGGCCCAGTGTGAGGAAGAGCACCGCTCTCCACAGTGCCTCTCTGGCCCTCGGCCACCTCTGTGCTGATGCGACAGGCTTCCTCAAACTCTCTACATGAGGCCCGTGGCTCCCTCCAGCCTCTGCATGCCAGGCCCAGGGGCCGCAGGACTTCACTGTCCTGGTGACAGCAGAGTGCAGAAGGCAGAGGCCCCAGGGCTCCTGGGAGATACACCTGCCAGCCCCAGATCTCCTGGGAAGGGGCTGCCTGGAACTGACTCCTAGTGCTGGCAGCCACCGGGAAACACATCTGGAACTGGTGAGCAGCCACCAGGTGCAGGGCTCTGCCCCAGCACCCAGCCAGAGCTGAAGGGCCACCCCCACTCTACCCCTGCAGAGCCTCCCACAATGGCTGCCCATGCACTGGGACTAAAATCCAGGCTCCTGCCCCACACACTCTGCCCTTTATCCTCCCTGGCATCTCTGCTCCAGCCTGATGGCCTCAACACCAAGGTGCCTCCTGCCCCAGGGCTCAGGTGGCTCCAGAGCTTCACGTAGGTCTCTGAACCTTGTCACTGCTCAAGGTGTAGGAAACGCCCTTCCCCATGCTCTAGCCTTTCCTCCCCCACTGTAGCAGCCCCCCCCCAATATCGTTTTAGCAGCTGTGTGCACACAGGGACCCGTACAGGTGTGTGCACTGGCTTCCGTCCCCACTGAACATACTCCAGGTGGGCGTTGGTCGATTTCATCCACCACTCTGTCCCAGGCACACAGGATGCCACCACACAAGTCCATGCGATGAATGAACAAGTGAAACCTCACAAAGACCCAGGTGCAGGTTTTCTCGTCCCCATTTTACAGAAGGCGAGACGGGGGCGTGAACAGCTAAGTCCCTCACTCACCGAGGAAGCAGCAGAGTCTAGGTCTAAACCCAGAGCCATGATAGGGAGAGTGCTTCTACACGGGCCTCTTGTGGGGCCAAACCTGACACCAAGGGTCCCGACCTCTCTGGGTCCCAGGGCCTCATTACCAAGTCAAGCTGCATGTGATCAGGTGGCGGCTGTGCAAGGGCTTTGAGGCCCACCCTGACTTCCTGGTTTGGTAGGTGTCGGTGGGGCTGGGGCTCTGCATCAGTAACAAGCTCCCCAGTGATGGAGATGCTCCAGGACCAGGACCCCAGTGGCCAAGAAGATGCCTCATGCCCCTCTGTCCCTGCCTCTGTGATCACAAGGGTCCTTAGTACTCTTGCTACCAGCAGCTTGTAGCTACACAGGACAGTGGCCAAGGTGCTCCGGAATTTAACTGCCCAGGTTCGAATCCTGACTCTGACACTTCCCAGCTCTGTGACCTTGGGCAGTTTTTGACCTTTGTGAGTCTCAGTTACCTCACCTGAAATAGGAAACAATGGCATTTCTATCACACAGCATTGGCGGGGGGGGGGGGGGGATTAAATGAGATACTACAGACAAAGCCCTTGACACCTAGGAAGAGTCCAATACCAGTGACTCACTATCAACTACATCACTGTCCATAACGAATCTTGTAATGGTGTCACTCTTGAATCTGTGTGGCAGTGTCATGGTGACTTAAGAACACAGAACAGAATCACCAGCAGCCTGCTTGCTAAGTCTACATTCCTAAAACAAAGGTGTTTCTAAGTTTCACTAGCAACCCAAAGCTTCTTTTTCTTCTTTGAATTTTAGCTTCTTCCTTAGTTTTCAGCATGGGGTGAGACATCTTTTCTGGGCTGATTTGTAGCCGCATATGAATCTCACTCTGTGGGGTAAAGGAATCATTTATCAAGTGGAGTCTATCTGATTTCCTGGATCAAGACGTTGCCTGCCTTAGGTTTCCTTTCCTCCCAACCTAACCCTTTCAAAAATAGAATTGCCCAGTTCCCGGGAGACCGAGGCGGCAAGAATACTGCACAAAGCTTTTTATATGTGACCAATGCAGTTAGGTTCTTAAAAATCAGGAAATCAGCCTCAGACCAGAAACACCCCAGACCCAACAACAGACGATGCTTCTGCAGATATTTTTCTGGCTGCTTCAGGCAAAATGTTATTAAATGCAGCAAATATGCAAAAGCAAAACGAACAAAAATGGAAAAACAAAACACAAAACAAGGGTTGCAACGGTTAGGGGACCAGTTAGGGGGAAGCGTCTACTTACCAGGCTTGCCTGTTTGTTTTGCAAGCAAAGGGCAAGAAGCAACAGAAAATGGAAGCAAAACAGATAATCAGGGCAGTTGTTAGAAAAGCAGAAAAAAACAATTGCAACAACCCGGAATGCAGAAAGCACAGAAATCTCTTTTTGTTCTAAATCCCAGATAGCCAATATCTGATTTAATAAGACACATTCTCTGTAGTAAGCCGAGGGGGGACAATGGCAGCAGGATGGAGGTCACAGCTGGTGAAGGCCGTGCAGAGCCACAGAGCCAGGAAGAGCCAGCCCAGGTGGGCTCAGCTGGAGTCAGCGGCAAACCCTTTTCTGTTCATGCTGGTGCTGCACTGACTGCCCAGCCCTCAGGGGGCCTGTGTCCCCTCCCCTGAGTGGTGCTGTTAGGTGACTAGAATTGGAAGAGAACTATGGAACCCAGATGTGGCTGATGGGCCTGTTTCACACACAGAGAGACTCCCTTTCCCAGAAAGAGGCACATACGCCCACGGCGACAGTCGGCCAGTCATGCCTCTGGCTCCTGCTATATTCTACTAGGACACAAGGACCTTGAAACATATGGTGGCCTTAATCAGTGACCTGCAACAGCGACTGGAGGCTGACAACCACAGACAGGCCACCTCTGATGAGAAAGCTCTGGAAAAGCAGATGATGGAGGGGGGGAATGAGGATGGGAATGGACTCAGGGAGATATTACTCTAGTGACAGTGTGTCCCTGGTACAGATGCTGTGGGGGTCACATGGGCCACCCAGAGAGCTCTTCCAAGAAAAGGAAAATGCTCCAAGAGGCCGAGTGTCCAGCCCTTGGAGACAGAACCTCAGGCCAAACCCACCAGGTGGCTGTAGTCCCTGGAGTGGGGGGGGGGAGAGGGCAGCACCCCCCACCAAGGGGCACCCTGGAATTACATGGTGCCACTGCTCCTCAGGGTGAAAATGCTCCGACTGCTCCCACTGCAGTCTTTCTTCAAGGAAAGCGTGAGAGTCCATTAATCTTTCTGTCCCAAGGCCAGGCGGCGTGTGTCAATGTGGAAGGGTTTCGTGCTCTGAGTTCTCAAAAGGGCATGTCTGCTTCAATCGGCTTCTCCCACTGGGCACCCAAGCTGGCGTTCAGCAGCCCTCTCTCAGGAGCAAACCTTAAGCCCCTTCACCTCCATTTCTACATGAGCCAAAATGTATGTCCCTGCCAAGGGCAAAAATACTCAGGAATGGAGTGGGATGTTCCAGATGAGCCACGATGGGTCTAAGGGATGCGCCCCTCTTCCCAAGACCTGCAGAGGCCAAAGGGTACTCTGAACGTGCAGAGCCTTCACCCTGACCGCTCTTACCAGCAGGTCGATTCTAAGAGTTTTGAAGTTTCTATCTCATCCAGATGTGTTCATAAATTCTTACGACAACTGAACACAGAAACTCCATGTGATGGAAAGCACACAGAAGGGGGCAGCCGAGGGGCATCTCCCAGAGGTAGGGGCCATTCCTGAGGCTTCTGTTTTCTTTATCTTGGGACAAGCTACAGGTGGGGTGTGACTGGTAAATCCAAACATTTGAGAGAGGGGGGGCTCATTTGCTAGCTTAGTGTAAAGCTTAAACCTATAAACTGTGGTTGGCAGTGACCTGGAGATTTTACATATATCCTTAGGAGAAAAGAGGTTTCCCCCCACCCCCCCCGGTTTTTGCAGTTACTGGGGATTGGACCCACGGGCTCTGCTGCTGAGCTACATCCTTAGATGATTTTATTTTCATTTTGACACAGGGTCTCACTAAGTTGTCCAGGCTGGTCTCAAACTTGTGACCCTCCTGCCTTCGCCTCCTGATTTGCTAGGATTACAGGCAGGTATCACCACACTTGAGAAAAAGATTTTTTAAAAAACTGGTTGCTATGAACCAAAGGAAATCATAAATTGACAGCTAAACAAACATCGTGACCCCAGAGTCAGAATGTCACTTCTCAACAGTGATCATCAGTCTGAAAGCTAGTCTGTCGGTGCCGGCTGCCAAGGATGCAGCACCCCCATCTCCCTGCACAGGGTGAGTTATCAGGGTCTGCCAGAGGTGTGGCAGCAAAGCAGGTGGGCAATGGCCACAGGTTCCTGTCAGGCCCTGGACCCCGTGTAAAGGCTGAGCGGCAGGTTCAGTCATTTGAGTCTGAACTCATTAGACTGTAGGGATTCTACTCCTGTTCTTTCCCATGAGCAAAAACCAAGGTTTGCAAGCATAAGGCAGCCCAATCTCCCTCTCCCCCAGGCGAGCGGTTCCTGGCTGGGTCAGGCGCCTTCTGGGGGCCGTTCCCAGGACAGAGCCATGCGCTGGGTGCTCTGGTCCCTCCTGAAGGGCACCAGGTTCTGAGCCTCCACTCTCGAGGCCTCCCCTGAACTTGGAAACCTCACGGCAGGCCCGAGCCCCACAGCGGGGTCAGGATACTCACCTATCATCTGTGCGATGGTCTTTTCGTACTCGGCCACGATCTTCCTGTAAGACAAGCAAAAGCACCATGGACCACGATGGCAGGATGCTCCCGCACGGGGGACATCGACAGAGTGACCGTGACCAGTGGGACAAGTCTCACCTGCCACGGTTGGGCTCCCTGGGGCAGGGCCACGCCAACGCTCAGCCACACACAGCGGTTCATTTTCCCAGTGTGTGACTGCACGCTGCGCGCCCCCTGCCAGCCCTCAGCTCCCCACTGACCGCTAAGGCCACACCTTCAGCCTGCAGCCACCTGGGCCCACGCCCTCAGCAAGCCTGCCTCCGCCTCCAGCCCCCCACCCCCCACACATACAGGCGCTTCGAGGCCCAGGGGGTGCTCTATCTCCACTGCTAAGTCTGTTTCTCAAGGTGCAGCTCCAGTGTCTCTCCCGGGAGACCTCCTGTGATTTCCCTGGGAGCCCTCTAACACTTTCTCTGTATCGCAGACATCTGCCCTCCCAGAACACGAGTCCATCTCCTCCACTGGAGCAGACTCTCCAGGGCCTGGAGGTGCACTTCTTGGGGAGCCTCGTAAACAGCAGCTGCACCCAAGCACTGAGAGCCCCTAGTTAGCCTGCCCGCAGCTCCCCATGACAGCACTGAGGTGCGAGGCAGCCCTCCCTCCAAGGAAGCCTCGGGAAAGCCAGTTTCCCTGCATTATTCAGCAATTATTTTCCCCCAAGAGCTGCTAATGGCCAAAGAGTCAAGACCCTGAGGACACAGGCCACAAAGGCCCAGGAGTCAGGCGGTCCAGGCCTGGCTGACCGGCCTCTGGGACTCTGGATGAGTCATTCTCAGACGCAGGCTCTGCCTGCTCCCTGGTATAGGGGGACCACCCTCGCGCCACCTTCAAGCGGGAAGTCACTCAGTTCTTCCCGACTCCCGCTCAGAAGCACTTCCATGCTTTCTGACTGACGGCCAGCTCCTTGTATCCAGGATCACAAAGATGTGGTGGGGCCGAGTCTAAAGCTGTCACTGATGATGATGACACATGCAGGTGGCCAGGGCCATGTCTTTTTAGACGTGTGGATGGACCATGGGCCTGAAAGTGCTGTAGCTCACTGCACCTTCATCTTCTCCTCAGTGACCCAAGAGACTGGGCTCCTACTGTCCCCAGCACTACTGATGAGGATGCTGGGACACTGCAGACTCAGAAACCTTCCCAGGATTCAAGGATTCACCTTTACGCCCCACTGCAGCAGGGCACTGAAGGTTACCCCCACTATACAGATGGGGAAAGGAAGGTGGAGTTAAGCAACATGCTTAGAAGCAGCTGGGAAGAGGAGCCTGCTTTCACCTGGTGATGCTCCAGAGGCTGATAGGGTGATACTCGGGCCATCAAACGCCAGTGCAGCTGGACCAGCTGGTGGCATGTTGAAATCCTGCCACCTCAGAGAGTGGACAGCACTCCCTGGTACGACCTCCCTGGGAGGCAGGAAATCATGGGAAGACCTTCCAGCCTTCCCAGTACACCCCGTTCATTTCCAGAGCAGCTAAAAATCTGGAGCCACCCGACCCTCTCCGAAGAAGAAATAAAGAAATTAAAACATAATGCAGCTGTGTGGCTTCAGTAAGCCTGTGGAAGGGCACAGGAGACCAACCACAAGAAGGTGTGAAGCAGCCACAGGAGGGCATCGTTGCAGAGAAGGCACAAGAGAAGAGTTTCAGGATGGCACTACGGCACCTAGAAAACAGGTGCGATTCCCAGGAAGTTTGCTTGCTGCTTAAAATGGCAGCCAGGAAGGCGACCGATTTCAAGCCAGCTCCCACCACTGCTACTAGGTACATGGTGGCTACTGTGTACTATTACAACACCTGGCACATGAAAGTAAATGACCAGGAGGAACTGGAAGGGAGACCCTGGGAAGGAGGATTATCACTGTACGTATCTTTACTCCGTTCTTTAACTACACTAAAAATACTCATAAAAGTATGAGCCTTGCACAATATAGAAAAGAGAACCTCTCCAGGAGAGACCACTGGGCTCCACCACTGACCTCATCTCCATCACCTCCCGTCTGCTCTCTTCATATTTCTCTTTCCACTCCGAGACCTCTCTCTCCTTGGTTAGGACCTAGAATCAGGAGGAAGAGGAGGGTTAAGCCCAAATGTGTGGATATGGATTTGACCAAATCAAAGAGACATCAAACAAGAGTGCCATTAACACTTCCTAAGCCAAATCATAATTACAGCCAGAGAACTTCCCCAAACATGAGGAGAAATAAGCCAGACACTGCTTTCCCAGAGCCCACTGGGAAGCAGAGGAGAGGGGCGTGCTTTCTGTGACAAACAGACAAAGCCCTCCGAGCCCACGGACATGACTTCTAAGGAAGATCAAGGTCCACGGGCCGCCACGCATCTTTGCCTGCAGTGCTCCAAGGAGAAAAGCTGACTCCAAAGACACAGGCTTCTCAGGTGTGCATCTAATTTACAAGACACCACATTCTTCCCAGGGCAACCCGAGTGGCCCTTCTCCTCGCTGTGCCACTGTACCTCTGCTCTGGCCACCTGGAGTGCAGAGTCCAGGTCTGGCTGCTGGAACAGAAGGCCCGCCGGCTTCTCCACCTCAGAGGTCCCGATGCGGGAATACAAGGCTGTTTTGGAGATGGAGACATCTGGTGGGTGAGCAGCTTCTCTCTGTGGAACGGTTTTTCATTTGGGAGGGGGGGCGGAAACACACAAAAAAAAACCAACCCAGTTAACATTCATCACAGGACAAAGAAAACGCATCCATCCTCTGGGTTGCATGGTTTTGAAACAAAGAACATCCAAAGTATGAAGAATGCAAAGACTCATGAATGGGGAGACACCAGGCACCACTGATGGAGATCCATCTTTTGGCCTGTGCAGCCAGACGGAGCGCTGATAATGGCAGAAGCCCTGGCAGCCCAGACG